CGCTTAAAAAATAATAATAAACCGAGAATGAGAACTCTAAACTTGAAGAACATACAAAGTTATTAAGGGCAGCATAGAAGGATATAAGAGCGTATGGAAGGATATGTGAGACCGACAATTTGGGCTATATTGACAGAAGAATGATTCCATTCTCATTGTCCTGCCCTACACAATTCGAAGACTGTTCTTTCATAAAACAAGATGGACCACAAGATCAACATCTCATTGAGTTGAAGGTGACTGGAATGATCCAGTGTTGATATGTCTGTGGAACAAATCCGCATGCTTCGATGAGGATAACCTGTAGATCCAAACTCTGATTTCTCTGCAAGATCTCGGAAAGATTTCTCTATGTGGCCAAGTTTGTCATTTTCCAACTGACTCATTCGTCTATATTACAAAACGGCTGTTCATGCGGTTGCGCTCGCTGGCAAGAATGACTATTATTCCTCGTGACTTCAGATAGGGTCAAAGTTGGAGGGAACACTCCAACCGACATCAAAACATATTGGCTGCAATTTTTGACTTGTGGAATTTAAGTGGATGCCCAGCAATAAAGATGACACATAGCTGGACGTGTGCTTCGAACACCTGGCTGAGCGCACGCCATATCAACTAATAATATCACTATACAGTCCAGCCGAAGACCATGACGCAGTCGCCCAAGACTTGAGAAGACTCGTGTATCTTGCAGACAGATGACATGATCTGTTGATCATGACATTTTCAACCCGATTTGGTTAGCCCAGGTGTTAGAGTTTGAATGTTGTCCATACATCATCCAGTACCCTGACGTGGTTTTGAATGTAACTGAGCTCTGTAAGTTAAATGGACAATTTACCTTCCGATGCGGAAAAAGACAGTGGCTTTTGCATAAGGAGAGAGTCTGTTTACATCATCTGCACTTCTGATCTTGAGACACAGTCATTCGACATCACAGTCAACATTTCTACTGCTTGAAAAATTATGTTAATGATGTGAGGATTTATTTTACTCAGACATGGTTTGAAGATGATATGCATGTTATCTTTAGTTCCTGTTCTCAATTTGGTCTTCATCACCACATTGTTTTAAGCTACGGCGTGCATATTGTTTCTTTACTGGTCTAATACGTGGGCATTAGGAGGAACCTTTGACCTTGTCTATGGTCGGATATCCGAGTACGGCCAAGTTGTCCAGCTTTTGACGTCAAGTACTTCAAACAAAAAAGTGGTACCAAATCATATTTGTTGCATAACGGGGCCGCAAGAGGTCAAACCAGGAGTCTAGATCTAGAAGTGCTAAAGTACATTGATTGGTCAATGGAGAGCACTCGATGAAGCATAGTAAACACGTACGGCAACATTTACATAAACTGGGTTGCTAATTTAGTTGGGTGGGTAAACATGTACAGTAGAGGATTTGCAGTTTGCCATGAGCAGGCTTGCTGTGTCATCATGAGTTATATACTCCGCAACGCAAATTCAGTGCAAGACTTCATGAAGTGCAGATGAATTACATTCTGGTCCAGTTAATCAGTTTTCGATTTTTGCATGAGCGCTGTTGCCTCCACTTCTTTTGGATAAGAATTTGTAGTTCTACCTTTTGCCATGAAAGTTCGATAGGATCTTCGGTAGATTGGAGTTCGATGAGAGAAGATCCAACCAACTATGGGGAACGCTTCCTGTAGTTATGACCGTCCTCGGATGTTTCAATTGTAAGTTGTGAACAAGTAGTTTCATTCTTGATTTCTTCAATTTGCACCAGAAGGTTTGATTTACAAATTTTTTGGCGTGATAAATATAATCTAATACTATAATCCACTCCTTATCGTTTTCCGGCATTTGATAGAGTGGAGAAATCCATTATAGCATCTAGTGCCTTTTCTTGATTTTCATCTTTTATTGAATATTGTATTGGTTTTCCAGTCTACTCACTTCATATTACTCCCGAAGAAAATCTTTGAAAAAAGTCTTTGAAGGAGTATGTTCTCTATAATATGTTCTAAAAATTTTGTTGGAAATTGCAATCGCAGATGACAATTCGTACAGGAGTTTTCGTTTAATTTTTCTTTCTCACTGCGCCTCTATAGTATTAAAAAATTATATATAATTAATTTCAATTCTGCGAAAACATGTATTAAGTATGCTGGTCGAAGTAGTTGTTACCAAAAAAATTGGAAAAGGGAAAGACATCTTCGCTGCAATCCTGCTTATCCGGCTTTTAAGGAGAAGTGGATGAATTGAAATGTACAGAACAGTACAGAAAAGACAGTACTAAAAAGGGAAATGTTGCTTCGCATATTTGTTTACATTAAACAATCTAGTATGGAACACGTTAGCATGAAGTCAAAAAGGACGACGAGGAACGAGACGACAAGAGAGGAAAAATATGGGAGTTAATAAACCAACAGAAGAAAGCTACTTCTTAGAGATCGATGTACAACATCCCTTGATATTGGAGCTGGTATAGGATTTAGAACCCCCAAGGGGAGGAGTAAACTCTAGCTTCAAAAACTATATCATCTAGTTTATATATGCTAGCAAGTGTGCCCAAGAAGTTGTCTTGTCATTGCACAAAATGGTGGATAAGAAGAGAAGAATATAGAGATTTCATGCTTCAAATCTGACAATAAGGTCAATAATATTATAACAAGCATGACAGCACTACGACCAAACTAACCACACAATAGAGACTCTCTTTCAAAAAACAATTTTTCTTTACACTGTCGCCCATGATGCCATACCACAAACAATTATCATTAGCTTGTAGCTTTCACATCTTCCAACCCATCGTTATTGGTATCAACTTGGACTTCTTTTCACTGTCATACCTTCCATGATCCATGATGAGCCTCATGTAAGCTCACACAAATGTTAGGCACATGCACACAAGAAGAAATATAATGACAGTTGGCCACAGGCACTTTTCAGTGAGTTTTCAGGTAAAAATTCTATCAAAACTGATACTTCTCTTCAATTTGCTTGAAGATGAAATGATCCCTCCTGATGCACGACTCATGCATGACAACCTTCCTTTACAATTTTTTCTTGAACATTATGCCTCGTGCAGAGCCTCATGCCCACATTACTGTGAAGATGCACAATAAAAAAACTTGGGGAAAAAAATAGTGACCCCTTGAATACCTGTACCTTGTCATTTTGACATAATTTGGTCTAAATGTCAGGAGTAAGTAACACTCTTTTGGATCACGTGGGAAAAAACGTGTGGGAAAAAACGTGTGGACTAAATTTCATCAAAATAGTTCAGGAAAAAGCTTGAATTTCAACGAGTACTGGGAAAAACGTGTGGACTAAATTTCATCAAAATAGTACAGGAAAAAGCTTGAATTTCAACGAGTACTGTAATGGTACTGTAATTAAAAATCTTCATATATAGATCTAATACATTTCAAGTCTACGTGATTGAAATTCAACGAGAACAGTATTTTTTTTCTCCAGTGAAATTTGACTTGTCAATTGCAATTAGCAAGTTCGATATGAAACGAAACTGGCTACTATTGGCGTCCTAGATTTCTGTCTCACTAGAACGAACGTTTTGTTGCAATTGCTTTGCTTCCCAAGGAGTGCATGTAGATGGGAATTTGATCTCACGTTCCTGCACTATATGTAACAAGAAAAAATGTTTCAAAATGAAAAGTGGAAAAGCTTTTAATTCTCGAATACTGTTTAACACTTGACAAGTTTGGATTTAATGTATCTGAAGAATTCGGATAAATCAAAGGAATATATCCTTAATCGAAGCAAAACATGAAAGCTTGTAACATCCATCTCCTCGTCGTTCAGAATCCTCGAAAGCGTACTTTGAGTACGGAAGTTTAAATTGTTCTTCAGTGTCAGGCCGTCAGCCAGTGTGATATTCCTAGGCCCGCATGATATTTATAGCGAGAGAGATGTCAAGTTTACTGGAGATGCTGTAGTATTCCTCCACATGTAACGGAGAATAATGGCTTGAAACTAAATAACATCCTCGTGCTCATTCCTGTGCTGCTGATTGATGATGATGCTCTCCCATCGAGTTCCGATTGTTCGCCGTCCTGTCCAGAGAACGCTCGCAACAGTAAAGATAACGAACTCGTTGCTGTTCCTCATGAACATTTCATATCCGACGATTTTTTTCACAGTCTGCAGCGGTCGTCGAAAGTAAAGATAGACGCCAATTGTGCGTCGCCTCGACATCATGACGAGTTTCGCTCAACAGCTCGATTCTCGGTCCTCATGAATCTTCTCAGGCGAGAAAGACATGGAGTCGTCTTGAGCATCCGCAGCAGGGTGGGACCTGCGGGAGCCACCAGGTCGGCCCACACATGTAGCTAGTTAACAGATTGTCTGGTACGCTATGACCCTCCACCGCAGAAGATTTATTTCCTCCCAACAATGGACCGAAGGCCTTCCTGCCCGAGAGCTGTAGGACAGTAAAATTCTGCAGTCTCCGCATGGCTGCACACAGAACCTGACTGATGGTCATATCAAATCCCGCAGCAAAATCCTGATTCCTCCTCCTCTTACTCCTCCACAGGCGCCAGCAGATTCACGATTTTCTCAAGAAAAATGAATCGTACAGCGACGAGCTTCGCGGCGATTAAATGTCCACTGTTGACTATTGACCGGAATTTCGGAAATGGAAACTGCGCATAAAATATTGTTCTGCCGGCCATATATAACAAGCTCGCCTGTCAATGGAGAAACTCACTAAGTTTCGGTTCGGATCTGGGCACTCAATTGACGACTGCTGCTACAGGCCGGGAGCTGTGGGGATAACTCAGAGACACCTCTTTTGAGGTCATCGGCTGCTACGTGCTGCACAGGGGTGGTGGGTAAGAAGGGAGATGCTGGGGATTTGGAGGTCCAGCTGGTAAGAGCGGGTGACAAGGTGGTAAATGAGCGAGGGGAGGGCATCATTGATCCGCGACTGCTTTCCGACTTTTTGTCGATGGCATGGCTCCACCACAACATGAGGACGTATTAAAGTCGGGCCAGAGGAGGGGACTGCCACGGGCCTCATATCTCATCCCATCTTCCAACCAGGAATCGTAGCGGGCCTAGTGCTAGGCTCGTTGACTCGGGCTCTCAAGAAAGGCCTTCGTTTTCTCTTTAGTGTGCAGGTTTTTTCGAAGGCCTTTCGATCGCTTTTTTCTCGAGGTAAGGGTCGCACTCCGCCTCACTTCAGAGAGTCGAGACGCAGTCGCCGCATGTCGTGCATATAAAAACTCGAGTGGTAAAAGAATCAGATTGCAGTCTGCAGTGGTTCGAGCTGCCTGCCTTCCTGCAGAGCGCAGCCAAGACTGAGAAGAACTAGAACTAGAACGAGTAGTGAGTAATACGTAGAAGGAAGGAGTCATGGCAGGGGCCGGGGCCGAGAAGGAGGCTGAGCCGAGGAACATTTTTTTGCGCTTGCTTATCAAGCACTGGACTGTCAAGGAAATTGTCAAATCTCCAGCTCAGGAGGAGCGAGAGAAGTACCTGTTTTTATACTGGAAAGGAATCCCCTTCAACAGATGGATGCTCTTCGCCTCCTCCTTCCTCATCCAGTTTTGCTGTGGTTCCCTCTACTCCTGGTCCAATTTCAACGCCCCCATCGATGACCTCATCTATGGAACGATTACTGCCAACAAGGCCCCCAACACCTTCTACATTGCCGTCGGTACGTGTCTCTCTCTTTCTCTCTCTTTTCACCAATCGCATCACATCAGTCTGAAATTGCATGCGAGGGAAATTGAAGAAGTGAGAGGAGAAATTGAAGTTTTGCTTGCTAGAGCTGCAGAATTCCATTCTTCCTGATAGTGAGGATTCAGTTCAGGTAGCAGGCGAGGGAAACTGAAGAAGTGAGAAGGGAAATTGAAGGATTGCCAGCTAGAGCTGCAGAATCGCAGGGCTCTGAAGGCGCACCCGTGTGACGATTTGTGTCTTGTGTATCATGATGCGCAGGTATGTTCGGCACGACGGCGATGATTCTGGGGCCATGGCTGGAGCGGCACGGGCCGCGGCTGGGGCTCTTGCTGGGATCGACGGTGTTCGGAGTGGGGCAGGGCGTGGCCGCGTTATCGCTGCACAAGAAATCCATCGTAGGAGTGTACATTGGCTACGGAGTGCTGGGCGGATTCGGGCTGGGGCTGAATTACATCTCGCCCGTGTCGGCGCTGCAGAAGTTCTTCCCGGACTTCCGAGGAGTGGCATCGGGCTTCGCGGTGGCGGGATTCGGAGCCGGCTCCATCGTCTGGAGCAAAGTGTACTTACCCATGATCAACAGGTTCCAGCTTCCAGAGACCTTCGCCATCCTCGGGGCCGTTCTCGCAGGCACCATGCTCTGCTGCTCCGTGGTCATGCGCACGCCGCCCAACAATTTCACCGTCGGAGGCCTCAATGTGCGAGGCCAGAGAGTCGCCCACGAGCACGAGCACGAGAACGAGCTGGAGCTGGACCAGGTGCGCGACGGTAAGGAGTCGCACGACGTCGAGAAGTCGGCCTTGCCCGTGGCCGTAGCCGGGACGCCCATCGTCATGAGCCTCATCCAGTCGCTCCGGTCACCCGACTTCTTCTTCATGTACCTGATGTTCTTCGCGAACCAGATCTTCGGGCTCGTCGCGCTGTCGCGACTGTCGAACATGGCGCAGGACCTCTTCGGGCAGAGCAAGAACGAGGGCGCTAACGTGGTATCGATCAACGGCGTGTTCAACTGCCTCGGCCGACTGTGTCTGCCGATGCTCGCCGACTTGGCCATCAAGACGCTGAAGACGAACCCGCCGTTCGCGCGCAAGCTCGTCTTCCTCTTCAACCTCGTAGTGCAGGTCGTCATCGTGGCCATTCTGCCGCACCTCATCAACCGCGGCAACTACGACGGCTTCCGCGGCGTTATGTGGACGCTCACCTTTACGTACGGGGGCGGGTTCGGGACCATCCCGTGCTTCCTGACCGACATGTTCGGCCCGTACAACATCGGGGCGCTTCACGGCATGATCCTTACCGCCTGGTCTATCGGCGGCGTCGGCGGCGGCCTCGGCTTCACTTCCGTCTTTGACCGGCACAAGCCCTCGGCCGCCGACGCCAAAGTTCCCGGCGCCTTCGACAAGGCGTACGAGAGCAACTTCCACTGGATTCTGGCCGTGCTCGTCGTCGGCCTCGCCATGCTCTTCTTCGTCCGCACCGACCCCGTCGACCGGACCGCCCCCGGTTACCGGTTCAGCGTCCTGGGCAAGAAGATCGTCCACTTCAAAGGCGCTCGCTTCGGCTCCGACCACCACGCGGTTGCCGGCGCCGACGCCGTCCACCCGCAGGCCCCTACGTCGTCCAAAGTCGACAGCGTAGCGTCTCCTATGTAGTAAGCAGGCCCCTCCCAATCTCGTCCCCACCTCGAGGCGGTGCGTAATGAGCTTACAGATTGACGAGAGCCGAAGGTTCACGAGGATCGATCGAAGTGCACATGCTCCTCGCTCGATGCACAATCTCCCGAACAGAATTCATTCGTGTGTGCACTGGAAAAGCGACGGGTGGCAATCTCGAGGCCTCTGCTCGACTGCCTTTGTACATTATACTACTGGCGTGGAGACGGTCCACAAAAATTGTCATTGTGGACGTGAGCTCAAGCCAGACAGATTGATACAGCGTAGAGATAGTAAATAGATTGGTTAGTACAGTACTCCGATTAAGAATGCTTCAAAATTACTTCAAAATGCAGAATGTCCTTTGCAGTTTGTTCCTTGCTTCTTGCCCTTTGCAGTCAGTACCCATCCAGTAGACAACTAGTTCTGCTCGTCGAGCCTGCGGTTGCCCTGCTAGGCAGGATCGCCAGAGTTTAGATCCAAATCTTGATGAGGAGTGCATTCGTCATTTGCGCTCACAGCCATACCTGGACTCCATCTAAGCATCCAGACGATTGTGTACACATATACTGGAATGATTACCTTTGCGAATTGGTGGCCTGATTTTCTGGTCCAGACAGCATTACATTGTTCTCTTATTGCGAGTTGAGTGATATTGTTGGCTGCCGACATTTGCAGCTTCAGCTGCGACACTGAACGTCTGTAGCCCGGTTCTCCTGTCATTGTGGTGGAAGTCGGTCAATTAGTTAGTGAGTCTGTCGATCTCGAGGATGATGGTTTGGAGAGTTGTGTCTTCTGCAACATGTCCAGCCGTGAGCGCGAATATTAAACTAACAGAAGGAAGTGGAGACTTGAGTCGCGGTCGATTCAACTTCCGTTCTTCTGTGAAGTTTACTGGATCGTAAATGACTCTGTTACTAATGTCTGTCTGACAGACTCGGGAAAGTGTTCCAAGTTCTGAAACGAATCCTCGGATATTGGAACACCACTAGGGCCTAGGAGTCGTGTACAGTACTGTACTGTAACCCGTGTTCGTTTGCCTGTTCCGCACCGAACTTCTTTCGAGCTGGTCGCGATTTATTTATTCAAACAGCGTCTTTCCGAGTCAACTCTTGTACCTAAATCTGGTCAGAAACTTTTATGACAATTCCAGCATATACCCGAGCATAATGTCGTTTTGGCAGCCATAGCATGGACTGGTCAAGAAGCCGATTGCGAGCCCAAGCTGTGGTGGAAGATCTAGTTGTTCCCTAAAGTTCTGAGCTCCAGAGTGCAGCAGCAGCAGCAGCTACAGTCACGAGTTATTGTGGTGTTTCGAAAGTCTGTCTTCGAATCCTAGCAAACCCACAGAGTTTCATTCGATCCTTCAAACTCGAATGCAGATTCTGCAAATATATATATCTGGCAAGCGGTATGAGTCACGACGCTTGCCGTCATGACTCATGAGTTTACATCCGCTATTGGAGTTGAGCAACTCTGAACACATGAGTCTGACCCGGGCAGAGCAGGGTGCATGGACCGACATCTTCTTGGGAGAGCAGAGCCATCAGATAATTTCTGTCATGTTGGAAGTGGAGTTGTTACCAGTGTGAATAGCTTAACCAGGCCATACATTTTTGAGGGAGTGAAGACAGGAGTTCCTCGTCTGAACCCGTGTCTTCAATATACAAATTCTGCCATTGTTCGCTTCACTTGTGCCAGAAGCGAAAATTTCGAATTTCTATATTTCGTTGTAGACGACGATGATAAGAGGACAACTCAATGAATCGCGAGAAATTCTAACAAAGAGCTTCGAAGTGAGATGGCAGTTCAGTCCTTCGCGGTGATCAATGACTAGAGCTCGGGTAGCCTCTAGTGTGTGTGATGCGATCTCAGGATCAGGGGATGGAGTACTGTACCTGTGAGAATTGTAGTGTCCTCGGGAGTGAAACGTGCTGTGTACAATCCACAGATGGAACAGCCCATCGCCCACACAGACTGAGGTTATCAAAATCTGAGCTTATTCCTTGCGACCTTAACATATTCATCAGGTAGAAACATGCTCCAAAGATGCGGGTGGTCATGGATCGTCAGTGTGAAGCTCACAACTGTCAGTATCGCATACGGTTATGTTATATGTGAACGTCTGGTGGACCCACTCATGGCTGAATCAGAACAGCATTGCAGGATCCAAATTATTGTCTGACACAACAGGAGTACCGAACCTGTTGGGACCTGTTAGGTCCAGTTGGAAATGATTCGGCAGTCCTAGCTTCTGTTTCTGTGACAATTATAGACCTCTCATCCGAATTTACAGAACTTATGACAGCCCAAAATTAGTGACAGAAACGACATTAGACAAACAGTGCTCGCGGAACGACATTATTCTTTCCTGGATTTTAAACTGTTCTTATTCCTCGTTATAGCTCGTTGGACATGCATAGACAGACAGAAGGGTTCTATGTTAGGATATCTTCTGTAACCTTGAGAGATGCTTATCACAAAATGGACAATCTTTGCAATCATGGACAAGTAGATAAAAGAGGATGGGACAACATGATCATAAATGGCATAGGCTCTTTTCTTGTCACAATATGCTATGAATGGCATATTTTTAGAATGCTGAAAATTACAATACCACATGCGAGTAAATATAAGTTCACGTTGTAGAAAGAAGTAGGTTCAGGGCAGGAACACATTCTAAGGATGAAAAATACTCACCGCCAGAAAAACAAAATCTCACCAGGAAAAACCACAGAGGACGCAAATATTCATGCAGCATTTCCTACTGCAGCAGACTGTACTAAAGCAATCTAAAGTCTCCACCGAATCGGCTTGTGTCCGGCTTGCATCATGAATTCACTGTTCGTGGTGTGTTATTATCGAGAGCCGTTCTTTCTTAATGCGTTTCTCTTGTTGCAAATTTACCGAGTAGAAAGTGTTGAGTTCGCAAGTCTCAAGCAGTTAGCCATCAACTCTCGGTGTAGGTAAAATATCGGGCTCCACTTGATAGTTAACATGCTGAAACATTTCACAAAATAAAATCCCCTTTCATATCACTGGGCACCACTTTCCATACTTGCGTCGTTTACTTCCGGTAAAGGTTTTAGTCTTTGAAGAGCAGTTACTGCCGCTGAGTGTCATTTCTTTGCTGTAGAATGTCGCTAGTTGATGAGTTGGCTCTACTATTCCAGCTTGCTATGAAGAATTAAGATGCGATCATGGAAAATATATCAAAAGTAATAATTTTTTCTTTTTTCTATCTAAAAGTACACTAAATCATAAAGTTATATACAAATCAGATTACTATAAGTTCCAAGCTGTTTTTAGTTTATCGTAGTAGTTTATGCATAAAATGTGAATATGTATCAGATGTAAATTTTTTTCATGTTAATCATGATCATGTTTATGTTAAAGAAATTACTTGATGGTACACCAAAGAAACTCGACTTACTTTATGGGAGATGGCCACTGTCGGAGATGTTCCAATAGTGTTCGGGTAGGAATCTCTAGAAGTTTTTCCCGGATGGAGTTATGACAAGACCCTATCTGGAGTACTTCAAAATCATAATGACCGTTGCGAACTAGTCTTTCTGAGACTAGTTCGCAGCGTGTATGGGAGATGAAGTCCGACGAAAGCATTTCGAATGCGTGGCGGTCAAGGGCCAGATTTTGCAAGAGTCGCTCGGCCTGTTTTCAATCGACCAAAGCAATCGAACGCACTGAATGCTGAGATGTTCCGAGAAATTCTTGCCGCTGTAGCTTCTCTCGATGCCGATCCGAATGTCCGCATGATCAATGTCGCCGGAAGCGGGAGGCATTTTTGCGCAATAATTGACTTGCAGTTTTTATCGACCCATTCTGTGCAGTACTCTTCTGCTGGTGGTTGTGCCGGTTGTCTAGGGATTGAAAGGGAGGGGTTCAGAAGTCACTTCAAGTGGTTGCAAAAAATCGAGCATTGTAAAAATCCAGTCATCGTTGCCAAATTACTTTCACGGGAGAGAGTATTTTGGCAGGACAAGGACAGAAATTCTTTACACTATAATATAAAATATCAGGTTATAAAAATTGTTGTTGGACCAGCGTTGACGTGGGGTCCCATCGGGTAAAATGAAATTTTTTGGGTCACATAAAATGATTTGATTTTTGACATCAAATAATTACCTCTGTAATAAATTTAGGTTTATGGGTTTAGGTTATCTATGGTTACTTTTGAGAAAATATAGAATAGCTTTGGATCGAGAAGGTGAAAATATCTACTTTTTCCCCGGTCATTAAGAGTCAAGGTTTGAATTTCTTATCTTGAGTATAATCACTTTCTTTGATCCGAACTTGTGATTGGTTTGACTGGAGGGAGTAAATTGATTTGATATTTACAAGCGTGGTTGAGTTTTTTAGTATCAAAATGGACAGATTTCATACTGCAATGTATAATTTTTTTTGGCGATTTTTATCTTCATATCGATTATTTGTTGATGATATTATGATATCATACAGATAAAGTTTGAGAATAGAGTAAAATAAAATGTACTTTAAGACTTCCTTGTTTTGGATAATAAAGTTCATTTGTTTTAATTTTGATTGTCAAATATTAATTTTTTGTGATATTGGTTCTTTGCGGAATTTATCATAATGAATTTAACATTAAAAATCTATTGTCATTCTATTTATCATTCTATTTAATGAATATATTTACAGAAAATTATATTCAATAGTCATTTGTGAAAACTTGATTCCTTCAAGACATTATTTCTACTGATTTTTGAAATTTAAAAAAAATTTGATATCTAATAATAATTGAATATTGATTAAAAAAACTTAATCAAAAACCATTTAACATATTATTTTCAAAAGATATTATGGTAAAAATGTTAAAAAAAATATTTGAGCTCAAAGAAAAAATTAAATATTTTAATCAAATGTTTATAATTTAAAATATCAAGTTTCATATAAATGAAAATCGATATAAATCAAAATATTCTACATCATTTTGGTTTGAAGTTATAGATTTTTTCACACATGTCTTTTGAAGTTTGATAAAAGCTATTATGATAACAATATATTACTTTTATTGATAAAAAATATTTTTATCTATACATTTTTGATAATAGTTTATAAAATATTGTGTTGAAAATCATGAATGCATGATCTAAAAGCAAAGCCTTTACTTTCTGCTTTAATTAAAAAATAACATAAACAATATAGAAAAATCAACATTTTTCACTTTCTTTTATCATTATAAGCATAACTTAAATATTTTTAATAGTATAAGAGAAAAGATGAAGTTGTTAGTTCTCTGTTTTGTTATTCATACATGTTCATACATACCATGCGCAACAAGAATTGTACGTGTTTCATCGTCACATAAAGCTACATTCACGGTTGACATACAAGTTTCATTCAAACAAAGATGTTACATACGTCTTCATAATCTCTTTCCGCAATTATACATGTGAGACTAAACTGAAACATGCTCATCCTAGGCCTAAGTATCTCAAACTCCAAATTGAGTCTAAGCCTAACAAACCCTAACTAGACACCAAATCTAACTACAATTAGATTAATTACAATTAACATGACGCGGATTAAAATTTTAACAACTCTATAAGTAATGATAAATAAAATTAATAAATTATAAAATTCTATGAATTTATTTTTTAATTTTATATTAATTTTATACTAAATTTTTAAATAATTCAAAGATATAGTAAATTAATTTAAACATCAATAAATATAATACAAAAATATGTGAAATACTTCATACATGTTGCAAAAACATGTATGAAGTTTTTCACATATTCTTTTTCCAATTATATATATATATATAATTTATAAAAAAATTAAAAATGTTTTATAAAAAATATTTAAAAATATAAGTACACAGAATTAGAAATAAAAAACTTTTATTCACACACGTGAATTATTTAAAGTAATTTTTAAAATTTATATTAGAATAATTCATAGATAATATTTTTTTACCATTTTAGTTTCAAAACATGTTTAAAAAAATTATATGTTATTTTCATTATCAGATTAAAATAAAAAAAAGCATTTTATAATATACTCTATAAATTAAAACATTTAATGAAATTTTTTTTGCGTAACTTGTGAAAATATGTATAACTTTCATTTTATGTTTTATTTGTTGAAACATAAACAATGATTGTAATCAAACTTCGAAATTACAAGCTAAAATATTGAAATGATATTGACATTAAAAGATACCTTCAATTTAAAAACATGAGAACATGATATTTTAACCAATTTTTTATGAACAAAATTATATACTATTGTTAAGACATAACTAAAGAAACAGAAACTTAGAAATTTGATTGTATTGTTTGATACATCACCCGATTTGGTTATTTTATTTACTTTGCAAAATAATTTGATGTTAACTTAGAAGATAATGATGTGATGATTGTTGAGCTCAACAAGTTGATTATATATTATGACTTTGAATTATGCCGTAGGAATTCAAGACATCTGCATTGAATCTAGAGCAGTGTAAGTGATGTTGACTTCGCAACAAATGTTACTTGAACCATCTCATTTATGGCTTCTACAGGAGAGACCAAAGTGCATTAGGTGTTTATATACTTGACACGAAGTAAGTAGGATATTGTCTTTCATATTATGTAACAAGTGCTGCTACGATTGGACAAGAATCAAACAGGGTATTGCCATTCACATTACTTACATAAAAGTCAATTTGAGGTTACGGGATATTTTGCAAAACACACATCATTTCTTCTCATCTTTTCTATCTAGTGATTTATAGCCTAAAAGTAATACATGATTAGTAGGTACGCTAATTAGTATTAGTCCAGGTATGAGAGTCGGGGTAAGTGCTTATACTCCTCCTATTCCTTTCATGCACACAAGGGATTCCATTCCATTCAGTCCTCTTCACAAGCAGGAGGGATGACCTTGAGCATCTGCATGATTCTCATACGCAGATGTCTTCATCTTCGAAGCTTGAGCTCTCGACCAACAATGACCAGCGAACATGCATTCTCAAGATGGTACATTTTGAGGTAAAACGCCTCGTAGAATTATTTGCTGCAGCAGACGAGAACTAGTCCGGTGTCCGCCCTTCTGAAAGATTTTGAACACGCGAGAGGATGAGCTTGCAAAAGTCCTCGAGCCGAAAAGGCTTGCTAGATCCAATTTAGCCAAGTTCCTCAGATCCTGTAATATACTGCTCGGTCCCAATTTACTCGTTCGCATGGTACTTGATGCATTCTGCTGTAGATTGTTCATTCGTCACATATTGCTGATCGGGGAATGATAAATGTTCGGAATTAACTTCTGAATATCCCCTTACTCTCAATATCCTCGTCTTCTGCTTCGCCTGCTCTCTCTCTCTCTCTTTACTTTCTCTTCAGAACCAATTTCGATCAAAAGTAAATCTGTTGAAGTAAATCAACCGAGGCCCGTGACATCTGCCTGCGCAGTCTTATCGGCACAGCCAGGTGCGAAATGTCACAAGCTTCAGTTTGACTATTTATCGAATCGGAACTGTCTAATTCTCTCGTAAAATGTGTGGACGTGAAGGTGTCCATGAATCGTCTTCCTATACACCAATCGAGCGAGATTCGAAGCCATTGATACGGAGATCTTATTCGAACGCCAGGCCCTGTTATTTGATAGATTTGAGGGGCAGTTCAGCTGAGGCAGGTCGCCGAAGCCAGGAGGAGGGCACACTCGCCATCTCCGATCTCCGCTTACAGAAATCAGATCACCACATCCTCGACAGAACCACCGCGTCAAATTCTTGCATTTGATTTTGGCTCTACCGCGCGAAGTGGACGATCGTCATGCCGAAAACGCTGAATTTGTAGCCGGGAGCCGATCGGGAGGCCGGATCGGTGCGCACGAAGAAGAGCATCACGAGGCCGACGACGAGCACGGCCAGAATCCAGTGGAAGTTGCTCTCGTAGGCCTTGTCGAAGGCTCCCGGAATGTTGGCGTCGGCGGCCGAGGGCTTGTGCCGGTCGAAGACGGAAGTGAAGCCGAGGCCGCCGCCGACGCCGCCGATGGACCAGGCGGTAAGGATCATGCCGTGAAGTGCCCCGATGTTGTACGGTCCGAACATGTCGGTCAGGAAGCACGGTATGGTGCCGAACCCGCCCCCGTACGTGAAGGTGAGCGTCCAGATAACGGCGCGGAAGCCGTCGTAGTTGCCGCGGTTGATGAGGTGCGGCAGAATGGCCACCACGACGATCTGCACTACGAGGTTGAAGAGGAAGACGAGCTTGCGCGCGAACGGCGGGTTCGTCTTCAGCGTCTTGATGGCTACGTCGGCGAGCATGGGCAGACACAGTCGGCCCAGGCAATTAAACACGCCATTGATCGACACCACGTTGGTGCCTTCGGTTCGCGACTGCCCGAAGAGGTCCTGCGCCATGTCCGACAGGCGCGACAGCGCCACGAGCCCGAAGATCTGGTTCGCGAAGAACATCAGGTACATGAAGAAGAAGTCCGCCGACCGCAGCGACTGGATCAGGCTCAAGGTCGGGGCGCGACTGTGGTCCGGTTCCAACCACGCCGCCGCCGCGTCCTTGGCGACGCCCTCGACGTCGTTGTCGGTCACCTTCTCTCCGCGGACGTCGAGCCCGTGGACGGTGAAGTCGTTGGGCGGGGTGCGCAGGACGACGGCGCAGAGCAGCATGGTGCCGGCCAGAACTGCGCCGAGGATGGCGAAGGTTCCCGGCAGCCCGTAGCGGTCGATCAGCGGCAGGATCACTTTGCTCCAGACGATGGAGCCGGCGCCGAATCCGGCCACCGCGAATCCGGCCGCCACTCCTCGCAGGTCCGGGAAGAATTTCTGCAGCGCCGACACGGGCGAGATGTAATTCAGCCCCAGCCCGAATCCGCCCAGCACTCCATAGCCAATGTACACTCCCACGATCGATTTTCTGTGCAGCGAGAGCGCTGTGATGCCCTGCCCGATTGCGAACACGGTCGATCCCAGCGACAGCCCCCGACGAGGGCCGTGCCGCTCCAGCCATGGCCCCAGGATCATCGCAGTCGTTCCGAACATCCCTACGAACATCAGATGCAGACTCAATTAGCAATTGCAGTGGCAACCTTCAAATTCGAGCGATGATCTTGCACTTTCATAATATTGAGAAATTTATATATCGCACTGACCCAAACGACAAACTTCGAATTGGGACTGCAATTATCTGAGTTCGATCTGGGGAGCTTCCGATCGAGAGGAAATCAGATTTTGGGAGCAGGTGGATTCTGGAGGGAGGACATACCGACTGCAATGTAGAAGGTGATGGGTGCTTTGTTCGCGGTCTTAGTTCCGTATATGAGAGTGTCGATGGGATCGTTGAAGTTGGACCAGGAGTAGAGTGAGCCACAGCAAAACTGGATCAGGAATGACGAAGCGAACATCATCCATCGGTTGAAGCGGATGAGTTTTACGTACAAAAACAGGTACTTTTCTCGCTCCTCTAGAGCTGGAGACTTGACAATTGGATTCACGGTCCAGTGCTTGACAAGCGCGCGCAGAATAAAATTCGCCTCATGATCAACTTCATTTCCACCCGCCGCTGGAGCCATATTCCTCGAAGTGAGTCTGGATCAAACACTGCACAGGGAGGGTCCAGGAAACCTGCAAACTACAAGTTCGTTCTGAGAACACTCAAATTACTAAACCACAGCCAATTCTGTCCACTTCCTCCTTTTGAGAAGTAAATTCACTTTGAGAAAGAGAAGATTGACAGAAAGGCCTCCTTTCTGACAAGGAAAGGAAGGCCCTTCTCTGAATGCAAAATCCACTAAGCTTTCAATGCGATAATTAGCGATCGATTTTTTTCTAGTGGATGGCCCATCCAGATTATGAGCTCCGTGTACATTGCCCACTGTTATCTAAACTTATACTTTCCCAGTTTGTATCGGAACAATTTCTTAAACCTGTGGATTTATTGAACAGCGGCGTAGATCACTGCTGAAGCTATCGAATACAACCCACACATGATACCTGCCAGCAGCTGGTTGAGATATATCTGAAGCGAGGTTCCAGCATTATTATACGTTCGTTGGCAGTACCCGTGCAATCTTATAACACCTGACGAGCTCGAAAGAGTTGTTTATGAGCTCCACGTAAATACCTGCAACTCATGCAGTACTCGGACCGGACTCTTTACAGCGAGATACAGTGCAAATATAAACATGATGACACATCTCTCGGCAGTGGTGTTGATACTCGGATCTTTGACGGCTGAATCACAGGCATAGACTGATTGGAGTATGTGACTCCCTGCCAGAGGTCGCAATCACATCACGCTTTTCATTCTTCTTCGGTCACATTCACCGCGAGATCAAGGATAGTTTATCATCGATGCCTCCCGCTGACGTTAGATTAGATAAGACTCTGCTTTCCACTCAGTGCTCGTGCAGCTACTGACCCATCTGCTCGGAACTTATATTTTCGATCCCTTTGAAAATTGTGTGTCATCGTACTTCTATACTGCGTCTCCGAGTCTTCTCAAAAGCTGATGAGGACGATGCTCATGCACACCGATGTCACGCCAGCTCGACGTGTCACTCTTTGCAACAGATATAGTGCCTCAAGCCGAAGCAATTGCTTGATTACGAACTCTGAATTTTCAATTGTAATTCCACCTCGCTTTGCTGCAAGCTTACCTGTCTCTTGTGTTCTTATCAAGATGAGTTGAGGTGATTTTATACATCGGTGAACCAGTAATTACGATATGTCAATGTCTGCTGTTCAGAGTTTCTGAATGTATTCTTGTTGTTCGTTTACATTTTGGAAGTAACCACAGCAATTGACAATAGGATCTGGCAGATTTTCTGACAGCAAACTGTGATTTAGACTCAGAAGTGGTCTCCCTTATTGAGGGGTCCGGTACCGGAAGACATCACGTTCATAAGTCCTCTTTCGATTGCTCATAGGTACTGTGATCTGAAAGATGCTGTTACGGGCACCCAAGTTGACCATCAGCAGCATGATTCCAATGTAAACTTCTGCTCATACGTCAAACTTTGTCTGCATGTGAAGAAGAGCATTCACCTGATCTATATCTTACCCTCGTTACTACTCATGCAGCAGCTCAGGAGATTGCTACGTTATGACATTGTGCCTGAAAGTATACTGGAAACATGAAATTGACCCAGGGCCTCCTAATACCAGAATGTTCAGCACGCTGACTCTTTAAGAGCGCGACCCTGACTGATCGTTGACCTCTGTAAGCTCAACTCCATGGTGCCCCAAGCGTGACCTCCAAGCAGTGGGTTTCTAATCAACTCATGGATAAAATGGATCAAAATGGATAGCAGCTTCAAGCTGCTTTCCATTTATGGTCAGTGGCTTCTAAAATTAAAGGCAGTGGGTTTGCGAGTGATTTCGAAGTTTGTTCTATTGTACATTCAGGTTATGTTTCTTAATAGAGTATTTTGGCGAAATGATTGGCAGAGGTTTCTAGAACTGACGATCTGTTTCTAATTCCAAAGGGACGAAATTGACCTCCTCCTCTGTGAAAAGACTGTGGCTAAGTTATTGGTCCCGCATCAGGTCAGAGTTCACACATGTATTTTGGCAAACAAAGAATGCAACAAACTACGGTTTCGAAATAGCCAAAGCCTTTTCGAACGAACTACCAGTCAGCGTCTCCAAATAACCTACAGCTTATTTTATTATCAGACATAATATTATTTCTAAAATTTAATCCATGCATTTTTTGAAGATAATATTTTAAAAAACAGCATACTATTATAAAATTATGAAAATATCGAATATGGAAAAATGAATAATAAATATCATATTTTTTACTTCTTAATTTAATTTGTCAAGTATACTTGGAAATATCGTATTAATATTTTAATTTCCAAACAAATTATTCTAGAAACTCTATGATGAATTTTACAAAAGAATTCAAAATAAATCTCAATATAAAATAATTATCTGCTTCAAAACATCAATCAAATTTATAATAAAAAATTTATTTCATAAGAATTATTATAAAAAATTTTACCTCAATTTCAAATAAATAATAAGCTTCTACAATTATTTATCATATGAAATTTGATCATTATCCTTATACTAAAATTTTGATTTTATCTGTGATAAAAGTATCAAGTTATACATCTTACATTTTATATTTCTTGTACTTCAATTTTCCATTTTAATGATTATTAAAGGTTATATCTATTATGATTTTTCAAGAAATTTATTATTTCATTCTGCAATTGATTCCAAATTACTTTTATGATACAATGATTTATTTAAAAAAATAATATCATTCATTTATCTCTAAAAATCTAATTTTATTGCATTTTAATTTTTATTGATTAAATATTATCATTAATTTTTTTTAATTTTAAAGCTAATATTTACAAATCTACACTATTTGAACTTTAATGTTCATTGTAACAATAAAACGAAGATCCAAATAGACTTTTGTAGAGATAATAATTTTTGGAACAACCTGATACAATGATCAACGAGGTCTTTACGTCTTAAATAGTAATAATATAGAAAATCCGAACCAAAAAGCAACCTACATATCTTCTTTCTAACATTATTTTAATATTTATTCAAATCTTAATTTGTTACTGTCATATAATATCAATCTTCGTAGTGACAAAAGAAAAAGTGGCTCGTATTCCAAAGCACCTTGCTATATGTACTATTATTGTTTATAATGCAGTATGTACACAATGCAATTTCGCTTGGTAATTAATAGAATTCAAGATTTCTAACAGCAAATTTTCTGTTTTGTTACTAATTATATTCTTGTTATTATTAAAGTTAATTTTAGATTTTTTGATACATGTTTGTATATATATATATATAACTTCATATCCATAGTAGTCATTGATCACATTCTGATTTACATTAATTTTAGATTTTTATGTGTCTTGGTGTTTAATTTTTTTGAATGATATAAAACGTGTATAATTTTAATGTATGATTTTTTTAATATTTAATAATTGTTTAATATTAGTATTATTATATAACATTTAAAAATCAATCGAGGAGTTCACAAAATTTTTATCTAGGATAGTTTGACGAGATAAAATATCTTTTTAAAATAAGTTAGAACAAATCAAATATCTAATCATAATTTTAATCTTAATTAAAAAAATTCAAAATTCACCTTATTAATTTTTAATTTAAATCCTAGATTGCAAGCAAAATAGATTAATTTTATCACGATAAAATTGAATATATTGTGTTATTTTAATAAAATCAATGCAATATAACATTAGCAACATTAAATCAAATGCAGATCATGAGTCCAAATTTTAAAAAGATAACATGTTTGAATTTTAACAACAAAAATAATAAAGAAATAAAATTATCATTTTGCAATTAATTGATTTGAAGGTGATGATCAGACTTTTATATATTAGCCATTTTAAAAATAATAGTCTAGTATGTCTAATCTCGTATGTAGCCAATGCCTAATCTCAAAAAGGCATGACGAAGTAGTTTAGACTGTCAAATTTCTAATAGCTTGAACAATACAACGTTTAAACACGATTGCATCGCACATTACACCTTTCAAAACGTAGCATCAATAGGAGTACGGTCTTTAGATTTCAAAAAAAATGTCGACGAGTCATGTCATTGCTGTTGCATGCAGATTTTGTATTGCATTTGTTTGCAATTGCAAAGTTGGCCCAAAAATGATCATCAAGAAGACATTTGGTCCATCATTAAAATCCTATGCAAATTATTTGACGTACTCTTCCTCCAACTGGAGATACCAATTGATCAATGCATCGTCTGATGGAGCTCAAAACATGACTAATCATGTTGCTAATGTAATCACGCGGCTACAACAATGTTCAATAGAAGAATTTATCTCTGTGTGGTGTCTTTTCCATCAATTGTACATTTCTCTTACATAAGACATACATGAAGCTCGATGATGCTATATGGTATGCAACACTAAACTCTATGATTTTGCACATTCGATAACAACATAAGCTTTTTGGCAGGATGAAGTCGACTTAATCCAAGACATTTGCGACTTGATGACACGTTATGTTTAGTGCTACAAGCTGGCTCGATAATCATTGCCACGAGATCAATGTCCACTATTTCAAATTTCCGGTAGGCTATTTTTGATATGTATTTTAACCTGAGAGTTATGTCTGATGGGTTTTAAATGCCATCACAAGAAGCATCACGGTTGTCATACACACGAGCGTGATAAAACTTCAAGTCATCGTCTGACGCTTGACCAACAAAAAATAAATTTTCAACAATTGATTGATGAGTTAATACTTATTATCACTGCATCTTGCAACTCTGACGTTGAATATTTAGATAATCCACTCATGTCATCTACAACGATTGATAAAACTTCTACATTAATATCACAATCTTTATTGAAGATCTTGATCATTTTGCTTAGATGATCATCAACAATCTCATCAAACCGACTTAGCTGTTACTTCTTTGTAACGTTGCATTTTTTATTCTCAACATTGTCAAGGTATTTATGGATGATGCAAGATGAACAAGGCTTAGTGTACACTTTTGGACTAGTGAAGTTTAAAGTAGTGATATCAGTCGTCTTATCATTCAACAGGAATCTCTTCTTTATTGTAGTTGGTCTTTTTCCAATATAGACAAAATTGAAACTCAATTTGTAGAGCTTTGCACCATGTACAAGAATGTCTCAGCGTGTCAAGAAGTCATCAATTCTTGCAATCATCAATGTTTGTTGGACAATGCGTGGACACTAAACTATCTGTCGGGCTGTTTCAATTTCTTGGTAGATTTTGTTGGCAGTTTAGTTTCATCGTTCCTCAACAAGGAACTAATTGAGAATGATTTTTTGATGTTGAAGTACAAATTTAACCTATCATTGATTGATTTTTCTCCATAAGGATTTCTTGGATGCAAACAGTATGACATTTTTTGCACAATGAAGCAACAAAACATTTTTATATTACAGTCTTTGAGCTTTGAGCTTCTATTAGTGGTGATGTATAATTATGCTTAACTTGATTAGGGATTTGCGCCTAATGTACTTCAGATTAGGCACTTTAGGCATATGTGTAATCTACAAAGACTTGGTGATAACTATAATACTCCAAAAGTAATAATGTTATTAATTTACAACTAGAGTGATAGAGAAGAGAAGTTAATATGAAATTCAATGCAAAAATTGATTGATGAATTGATCTTTGCAGCTAGATAAAATCAAACTCTGCAATCTCTTCACGTCTTGTATATACTCAAAGCACATATGAGATCACTAGCAAGAACAAATCAAAATCTTAGAAGAGAGCCATTAATTTAGCCTGGGGCATTATCAAAATATCCATCTTAATTGCATCTTCAAACTCAAAACTTACGGTATCATAAGTTTACATAGCTGGTAAAGATTGGAACGAGAAGTAAGTAGAGAGTCAAAATAGTATAGTAGTTTCAATTGCAATTTCTTCTACATCCGCGAACTGAAGTGTATCTTACTGAATATATACCAATGTTTCTAAGAAAAATTTTAGAAGCACTTTTATATAGTATTGAGGATTTCAGTCTTACTAGTATGATCAAATAATGAATTTTTTGAAATACGGAGTCTAATCGCAATAATTTTCATTCTATTAGATCATATTTGTCTCTCTTTGTATAACAAATTTTGAAATGAAGAGAAAATACAAAAATTGTTAGGAAATAGGAACAAACTAATAACATATTGTCGCTCTAACAAATCAAAATAAGTCTTTTGAATATACACTGGATTCTTTCAAACAGATGTTTATGAATGATGCAGTGGTATGACTATGGAGTAAGTTCTGAGGAGTACGCTGAATCTCTTTAAGATTTACAGCTCTCCAGTATGTACAATCCACCTAGACGGTAGAGAACAGTTTAAATAGTTTAAACAGAGTGAACTCTGACAGGTATCATAACATGTTACTGAATTCGGAGTTTGCATTCTGAGTCCCAGCAACTGAGCAGCAAAGGAAATCGTTATGACTTCCCTCATTTATATCTTGTTATTTAAGCAGCTGTTCCAAAGGATTGGTGGCTCTTTACAGACAGTCAGGGCCTGATTGCTTTCAAAGGTTTGCTCTGCACTCCAGGAAGTCCCAAGTCAAGTTTCGTTGAACGATCCATTGATGGACAAGTGTTGCTATGATTGACTTCAATTGACTCAGAAGAACCAGATCTTTGAAGACGGTCAACAAGAAAAAGTCGTTGGAGAGCCAAATTCTTACCATTGGAGAGAAAAATTCATGTTATGTAGTAAACTTGGACTTCCATCGCCTTCTTTTAAAAAAGTATGTCTGTAGGTCTCAGAGTAGAGCTGCTCTTGGCTTGTGCTTCTCAAGCTGGGAGCTGGGAGCTGGTTCATTGCTCGCTTTGTTCAACTACTGCAATTTTCAAACTTACAAAATTATCTGCTTTGCAAGTCTCCCAGATCGAAACTGGGAAATGTGTGCTCTTGACAGGAGAAAGCTACTCATTACACACAGTGAGGGCTCCATATTCTAGAAATTTACATTGTGGGAGAATCCAATCATCCGGAGAATGACAGCATGAGTGAAAGACACAGAGTGGAAGAGCCTTCCGAAAAGTGGACAGCACGCGCGATTTCAGAAGACTTGAACCTTCTTCTATTGCTCTTTTGTGTGACATCGTGAGGTCAATTCAACGATCAGCGAGTTTAGCTGATTTGATCTTGTTCAGTGATATGATTGTCCAAAAATTTCCTGATTCGGACTCATAAGCCAGCAGTTTGAGGCTGAACCCTGATCACATGTGGTTGCCTAATGTATTGCGTCCGGCAATCTAATTAATCTCGCTACAATGTATCAGGCCAAAAGCCTCGAGCTGTAGGCGTCTAGGCTTCATGCTGAGTAAGGCTTCATGCTGGCACAAGACAAGCCGCTGCCAGGACTGACTCCGAAGGCGGAGGACATGCTGTTGAAAAGGCTCACCCGTTCGGTGTTACGTTCTGGATTGCTGGCTCCTGAGCCACATTCCAGTCCACCATTGATGATGACTGTGGTCATTCCGAAAGTTGCAGTCCTGCCATCTGCTGAATCGGATGAGGAAGGGCTCCAGCCGCCGGTAATGACTGCATGGCAAGCAGGCTTGGGGTTCTGAGCAGTCATCCAGAACCAAATCGCAGCCTTGAATGCAATGACACCGTTCTGTGCAACCTGGTCTGGGTTGTTGACAAGATCTAGGCTGACAGCAGATGAGTCACCGCATTGCTTGTAGTTGTAGTTCCTGAAATGCATCCAACATCTTGTCAGAGCGATTCGATCCCTCTCACCAAATGAAACGGAGATGGTTGATACAGTTCCAGAGGAGTTTCTACTGATAAACAGGTGAAGAATGACGACAATGATACCCTCAATTGTTTATGAACGACACTATCTTATGATGGGCACCCAAAGCAATCTGATTAGTTGTATCCGATAAAACTAAGATGTTGATACCAAGTGCATTTCCACTGTTGAGTGGTGTTGCACGTTCACTCTCATCCTACGGCAAGATACTTCACGTTCTATGATCAGTGCACGCAAGTCTGTGATAGAATCTGCAATTTAATCAGCCTTATAATGCCAAGAGGGAGGAAAGTCAAGATCACGTGACGAGCAGACGCGCTGGTGATGCCAAAATTAGACCATAAAATTGATGCCATATAATTTCGCCTGAATCTCACGATCATATGAAACCTAGTAGATAGTGGATGCCTGATTGATGATTATGGAGAGATGGAAGTTCTCGGAGTGGGAAAGCACAAGATTAAGTGATTACCAGGTCAGCTGCAGGGGACCACGGCCGAAGTATTGCTTTCCAGCAGCGCAAGGATAGTCAGGATCGCAGTAGGCAGCTTTGTCGATCTCCTCGGTGTACACCAAGCCTGTAAAAACGCCGCACACATCAATTCGGAGCTTCCATCGAGCTAAAAAACAGCTTCCTTCAAGCTGTACATGTGGAATTCATAACGCAGTCGGTATCAGATTGTAGTCAGTTTCCATGTCGCGGCACAGGTTTTGAGTAAATTTGAGAGGAGAATTCAATAAAGATAAGAGGAAGTTCCATGGACATAATCACCAGAAGTTTCGTGAGAGATGTGAGCAAAGAAAGCCGCGACTTCCTTCTTGCGCGTATTGCAGTCTCCAGTGGTTGCGAAACTGGGAAAGAACGAAGCAGCAGTGATCATATTCTCGTATGAGTAGATAGCATTCCTATTAGGAAAGAGGGATTGGTATAGGGATTGAGATACAACTCCTCCAAGGCTGGTCCCACATGAGCCTGATGGAGTTGATGGAGTTGATGGAGTTGATGTGCACTGACTTTGGCAGCGCGTTGCGCAATAAGCAGTTGTGGTTCCACAAAACCCGAACTCACTGCAGCAAAGGCCTCCTGCGCACAATGCTCCTCCTGCTTGGCTTCCACAAGTCTGAGCCAGGCTGCCCTGGACGAGGAAAGGCACGACCAGCGCCAGGAGGAGTATCGCCATTGGCGACTTGGATTTCACGGCCATTGTACGATGTTTCAGCTTCCAAATTGGAATGAGGAACAGGACTCGAGAGGATGATTCTATCTAAGCCAAAGCTATCTCTGTCGGCACTCTCAGCTCTGCGGTTTCAGTTGTGTTTGATCTGCTGAAGGGAGCTGAAGCTTATATAGTCGCTGGGTCATGCCGTTCCGAGAAAAAGGTGGTGTAGACTGATCGTCAACCACGACTCCTGCTCGATGGTCTCCCAATGGCAGTTGGGATCTAACAAATCGTTGTACGATTCTGACTCGCTTCGGAGTTTCACTAAAGGCATTGGAGCTTTTTCCACGCGCAAGTTTGAGTGCATCTCCAACAAATTCACCAATTAGAATCTCATTTAGTGTTTATACGCGTCAATTGAGTGCTTAGTTGCAAAGATCTGTGTTTGAATCGGAATCCCCTGTCATTCCTCGTACTAAGACGCCTTTGCAGATGGAATATACCTTTTATTTACACAAAGGTTTCATTTCCATAGTCTTCACAAGATGTGACTCTTTCGTCAACTTACGTCACTACGATAGCCTTCGTCATAGATCTTCAAATGTAGGTCTAGAGGTCAATGTGTTGACTTTCTGGTCTCGTGCATGACTTTTCAGTTCCCTCAGAATGTACTTTGAAGAGACTTCATGTCCAGGAATCTGAATCTTACTCGTTATGGCCAAGGCTTGAGTCACAACCGTAGCAGTCCACGGCTCATAGGCACGACTCAGAAGTACATACGCGTTCGCTTTCTGCCTTCCAATGAAGAGACATGGAATATTGAATCCTCTGCATGTTGTAAGCCTGATCCTTGGAGCTCGAGAATGACATATAGAAATTAATTATCCGTTTGAAAATTCCCATGTTTTAGAATTTGTATTTAAGATGCTTCATGAGATTGTCGGCATGGTTGAGACTCTAATCCAGTAGGTGTGTCAGTGAGGGAAAGAGTGTCTCAAATTGTCTGAAATATTTGCAGATAAAATTCTTGATGAAGAGCCTTGCGGCATGGCGTTCAGTCCTCTTTCTCTCCGTTGTGATTTGTAGGCTGGAAACACCCGCTACGAATTGATTGCCTGTCACGAAGATTAGTATAAGAGCAGGAAAATATGATCAGGGATAAAAAATTCATTAGATCATGATGGCAAGCTCCATCAGAAGTACACTTTCAAAGATGAACTTTCTGGACTTTTGAGTCTGACATGAACTTTGTGACCAAGGAAGTCAAAGCCGTGATATTCCCAACTTCGTCAATAGACCGCCCATTGCAACCCCTTTCAATTGACGGACGCGATCTTCAATCACCTTCATTCTATATTTGGTTCCGTCTGGATTTGCGAACGCTCAGTTTTGAGACCAGAGTAATTTCCGCATTGTACTCATGGTCAGTGAATCTGTAGGCCATTTAGCGGCCTTGATTACATATCGACGGAGTTAACCAGTTTACAATTTTGCTAGTGTTATCTCACAAAGTTTTGAATGAATTTTAACACATTGAGTATCAATGTCAAAGTATCCCTAAATAGGCAGTTAAATGTCTCAGCAATCCAATTATTATATTCACCATGTGTGGTATTGAATTTGTGCATACTTGTGACAATATGTAACTATTTATTACTATCTGCATGTAACAAAGTTGTGATAATTGGGTATATAGGGGTATCCACTGTTAACAATTAAGACGTTTTATTTTCAAATTATCTCTATGGAATAAATTACTCATCTTTGTAAACCTTCTAAATATGAAATTTGACTTGATAATAATCTCAGGGTTTTGATTGTAATTCACCGGATTCTTTTTTAACCCTCAATAAGTCATTGAAGTTTGAAAGTTGAGACATCTGTATGAAATTGGTGCAAGTTTCAAGTTGTGAAAGTCAATATAAGGTACTCAGGACTATCGTAGTGGCTTTTAGTTCTACTATCTAATTTGTTTCAATCACATATTTATGTCTAGCGATCATATCTATAATAAGCTTCTCGTTATTTGCAAGAGAAGAATCATATGAAAAAGCTGCTGAAATCAATGATAATACTTTCAATTTACTCGGGTTCCATTTTTGCTCTCTATTGTCTCTAAAAAATGTAGTGAATGGACAATTCTATTTTTTAAACCAAGTTTTTAAGATTTCACTCTAATTTAGCCTTCTATCGTCTATTGGTATTCTTTAAACACGGTTTGATCTAAAATTTAATAAAAGAATAATGATGAAATTATGCTGCTTCCTTCTAATATGATATTCATGATAATGTCATGATACTCTTGCTGCAAAGCCAGAGATTTCAAACATCTTGGTAACGAATTTTGTTCCAAGACTCTATTCTAATTTATGGTAATGTCAACAACTTATTGAAGTTTGTAATTTAACTGGTATTTATTCTATTTGTAACATGTGTCAGCTTTCTTTCTACATGAACCAAACCTGATTTCAACCTTTTAACCACTAAATAAATTTTTTAAGACTTGACTAGTTTCTGATATGTACTCTTCAATCATTGTTTCAAATTGTGTTTTATACTGAATTCTTTTTACACTGTTTACAAGATAAGTTATATAATGGTAACACGAATTCCATTATGTTTTCAAGAAATAATTTTCTAGCTAACTTTTACTCTTTCAAATTAGATACTATGTTTGATGATATGACATGAGACAAGTTTGGACATTCAATTTATTTGCATCTATTTAAAATTTAACACTTGCGCATTGATACCAACATCATGCGCACTTTAATATTCATCCAATTTTTTCATGCAAGTTTGTCAAAGTTTCTTACAAATGATCGTTAGTGTATCTTTGAGAGCAGTATTCCAACTTAGCAATATGTATTTATCAGTAAGATGCAATCGAATATTTTCCATACTTCACCAAATTGATCACGTAAAGATTTCATATAATCTCTAATATACTGAGGTGCAACAAGACAGAATTTATCTATCATCTCTATTTGACATTGAAATTTTAGCTTAATCTGTCTCAAGCAACATTTTTACTACTTTGCAATAATTTTTTCATTCGGATGGTACATAACTCTCATGATACCTTGCAATATATTAATGGTTAGGATATTAATAATTTGATTATACAAGTTTTTATGTTTCAAGAATAAATTTTTTAATAAAACCATTAATAATTCTAGATCAACTTATATCTTATATAGTTTAGATTTTTAGTTCACAGAGTTTCACTAGTTGTAACCAATATTAGCTACTATACTTGGTTCAACCGCCTTGATTGTGGACTCTATCCTTATTGAATTTTTTTCAAACAATATTATCTCATTTCAAGCAGATAATGTGTCACTTATGTGGAATTGTACACTAATTCTAACTTTTCCACTCACTATATACATAATATGCAGAAGAGTGATAATAGGAGTTCAAAGTGTAAATCATGTCTACAAACTGTGTAGTAGGTTTCTTGTGTTCTGTTGTAACTTATATTCCTTTTAGCTATCAGTCAATCTTCATTCATATGTTTTGCAAATGAATGCAATCAAACTCAAAACTATCATGACATTCAACAATTGTATTGGTCATTTTTAGTATATTTCATAAATATTTGCCTTGTTATTTCCAAAATGTTATTGAAGTGGTTTTCAATTTTCAATGTTTAGAATTTTTTTTCTAAAATATATTGTAAAATAAGACGAACATTTTTCTTTACAAATTTTTTTAAATCTTTAGAATCATAAATATAATTGTTTTCAAAGTTATAAATAAGATGTGTTAGATTTCAAATTTATCGAAAATATTGAAATTTGTCATTTAGAATATGCAGTCATGATTTAAAATTTACGATAGTTGACTTCTCGATGTAAGTATGATTGTATAAAAATACTGTAGATCAACCTTTCTCTCACAATTTCTAAATTTGAGAAAAAACCTTTTTATAAAGAAATTTATGGATATAAATTTCTTTTGTGGTAGGATTTGATGTTTCAACACATCAATAAAAATTCATCATAATCTCAATTTTCAAGTTTCATATATTGTAAAAATAAACATTTATTTAAGTGTTCAAACACTTAAATGTTTCTGTATTCATAAATTATTACACGATAACATATGATTAGACAATCATCAATGTTAGATTAGACTTGTTTATGCAAAACAAGTTATCGCAAAGTAACATAGTTATTACTCAGTGAGGTAAGGTAATGGGAATTTAGATTTTTAGGGATGTAAGAAGAACAATTCTAAACTTAAAATTGGGGTCATGCCATTATGATTTTGAAACACCTAAGAGAAATAACATAGAAGATATGAGAAAAAGGCATGAACGTGGATTTTAGTATGCATTTATCAAGTCTGTTGTGATTGTCTCAACTATGGTATTATGAAAACCTAATAATACGATGTTTTGAGAAAGAAAAGACAGTGTCATACTTACGTCAAAGAACAGGTTCTGTTATGTCCTTCAGTTTAGAGAGACAGAAAGCGCAAGCATTTGGGGTCTCTTTCAATAACGTCAATTTCTCAACAATTAAGTCCCGAAGAAAATGTACGACTCACCAATAACGCAGGGACCAAATCTGCACATGTGAAGTACTCATAGGGCACCAGATCATGTAAAAAACAGAGTGGATTAGATCCATCGTAATCGTGGATGGAAGATGTTCTTGATTATACGAGGAATTTCACGGCGAAAATTCTCGTGACACAGTGGATTGGCTCTGTCAAGTGCAGAGAACTCCTTGTACACAGCAACCGCCGATTTTAGCAATTTGATTTCTGAACTATTTCACTGAGTGTAGAGCTGACAAAGCCATTGTACGTCGTAGACTTTCATAGCGAGAACAAAGCACGAGCTATTTATTCCTACGTACTCTGTTAACGGGACGACCATCTCTGACTTCTAGAATCTCCTTTACCGGATTTTAGATACAGATGGACTCTTGGTGACCAAGATGAAGCCATCATTTCTCCATGCTTCTTGGTGTGGAGCACGTAATCTGCAAGACTTTGAAATCCTGCCTGACATTTCACGTTGAAAGTCGTTCGAGGTCTTGTTTCAATACTGTACCCTAAACTGGAGCTGAGGACCATCCAGCAGGAACAAGTTCATTCAGAAACTGATAAACTTTGCTTTAAGAAACTTGGTACCAAAGGTTTTAGTAGGATCAGAATGTACCCAAGACATCCAAGAAGATCATCAGTTCTGATTCGTATCCTTCGATCTCAAGGCAAGGACGGTTGTAACATGTTGAGTACTTGAATCCATCTCTTGAAAACCACTGATGACTGATACTACCAAGAAGATTGCATGTGAGATCATTTCTAAACCAATTACTGAACTCGTCAAAACCGATCTCAAAACTAAATAGGTTGAAGGACTGACAAATCGTACGATTGAGTTATTCAAAGAAACGCAAATCAACTTTGTGCTTCCTGATTCAGTTCACTAGCCCGCGTGCAATGTGCAAGAGTGAACTCAGTGAATGTAATATTTTACCTCATCGACTCTGTAAACCCCACTCTCTGTTTCAGACCTTGATACAGACCTCTCAGCCATGTACAGACTTGCGAAAGGGTGAAATGAGAGAGCCTCAGAAATGGGTACATGGACCTTGAAATAGGAAATAAGAAATAGTTTTCAACCAGCAATTGACGCGTCTCGGTTTCACCTCACTAACTGCGTCATTGCCCCAAGCGCAAAGAGACTAGTCAAGTTTTAAGGTTGAACGTCATATTGAGATAGCAGTGATTCGCTGTATTCATGTGCTCTAGATTTGTTCTGTAAATTTAGGGTATACTTTCGCTAGAAAAATCACATTGCTGTCTGTATACTCTTTTGATGCTTGACTGTGCGAAATCTTTCTTTATTAGTTATCATATAATTTTTTTGCTTACTGAAGAAAAGACCGTAAGATTATATGTTATAGTACATTGAATAGAAGCTAGTAACTTCAAGCTTCTAGCTCAAGTTTGTAAATGTTTTTAATCAGTTGACAGCTGAAACTTGTTCCTTCACGAAGCGTGTGGAGACATGAATTCTCATGACAGTAATGTGGACAAGCTGTTCGCCTACTGCATTACAAAAATTCGGCACCAGTCACATGGAGCGACGAAGGTAGGATTGCACTCAAGCCGTACGAAACTAGTATGTCGCATACTATTTCTTCCGGTTTAAATACATATTAATGTCTGGACATGAGCGTAACCAATCTACAAATCTTATTCAAAACATTCATCTCAAGAGGTTGTATGATCTGTCTACCCACTGTATACATTTATCTGCATGAATATAAAAATCACATACAGCTCTAACGATTGTGAACTCGAAGCCATTGTCACTGCTTGGAATCTGATTCATTCTCAAGGTCTGAAAAGAATAGCAGATTTCACTCCTGATCAATGACAGCAACAGATGGTAATTGTACCTTTTGGAGATGCTATATACACACAGTTAGTCTAAGTAGTGTTACATTGTGAATACATATCGTTTTTATGAACAAAGTTGCTCACAAGCATAGAGCCAAATCAGACAACACTTTCGTCAGCTTCGGATCGTATTTCAGGGCACAGTGTATCACATGTCACAGATGGAGACTCCAGCTTATTTCCCACCTACGAGAGAAAAAATATTTGGAAATTTACCCGTAATTATAAACCTTTAGCTGATGCTCTAAACAATCGTCTTGGGCTAGCATGCGTGCGCGCTCTGATTATAAAGGCAAGTTTTCAAAAGTAGACAGCACTCGGGACTTTCATCCCTATGAGCAACGGAGGTGCACAGGCTGAGACAGAATGATGTGATAAGGAGAGAGAAAAACAGAAGAGTGTGTGATACAAAAGATTTCAAGCCAGGAAAATCAAGGAACTCTCTTTGTTCACAACGAGGCACATGTGATTTCATATTCTGCCCTAGTCTGCCATTCTCTCCGTTGTGTTAAGTCTTCTTGTGCGGATCAACTCAGTGACTACAGATTTGTCAAAAAAGTTAAAGATACTTTAAAATTAGTTTATAAAATACCTAAATTTAGTTTTTCACAAAATCCTTGTGTTGAGCCAAATTTTTTTTTAAAAAAGTGATTTTAAATATACTATCTTTTTTATGTGTATTTATCTCATGCATTTATTTCAGTCATAATCTTATATAAAATAATTGCTACTTGAAGAAAATTCCAAAACTTTTACAACATGTTTCAACCGAATTAACCATGAGAAGTAACCATGAGGTCCATGTTACTTGGGAATGTTAAAGTTTTATATTACCATCTCGTCCCTATGATCAATTACGAGTGTGAGTTATGTCGAATAGACAAGCCTATTGATGCTCAAAATCCATAGCTTTGTGCAAATTAAGATGGAAAAAGTGAGCCGGCGTTCTCGCTAGTCAGCTCTGTCCCTTGGGATTGGTTGATATCAGTTCTGGCAGCACTAACCTTCCCAGCAACCTTCACCGAATGCGAGCCTGAGCATTTCGAAGCTCTTTCTCGGTGGAAGCCTTGGCCTTGGTTCGCCTCCTCTCCTCTCCAATCGTATCAGAAATTTTTTCATCCTTTTGGTCTGGAATTTGCAACTCGATGATATGAAAGTTTGTTGTGGTGAAAAATTTCTCGACGGATTTTTGTTTGGATTACAACTCAGGGACATTGAGTTTCAGAGAAGGAATTATTTTGATCGCCTTTTGCAGGTTGCTGAGTGCCGTCCTATGCCGCGGTGTTTGCTCCTTGCAGCTCGAGCTCAAAGCGGAATATATCCCTTCGGAGGCCGATTGCCATGGGGATCTTTCGCCAATTGAGCCCCGTCTTCAGAATGGCGGCTTGATTCATCTTCGATGCGAGCTTCGCAGTGACCTCGGCCTCTCTCATAGTTCAGCTTCCTCGTGCTCTCAAATGCAGCTGCCAAAGAATCCGCCAGCTTCAACTCTGAACCGAGCCACCTTTTCACCGACTCATGTCTAGCTCTCTCCTCTTGCGACCAGGCATGTCCTCGCCGTTTGTCCTAATGTCAAATTCGGAATGGAATCAATTCCACTCACTTGCTTGTCTTCAACATGATTCGACTAGCATCTGCGCATGCTGTCGGCTGATGTCCTCGATGCATGCGACTCGCTTGTTGCTAGCTCGACGGTTAGTCGGCTGGTCCGTCTTCTTGCGCACTTATTGATCAGATTTGACTTCCTCTCGTTCTGTTGGCAGCACTTTGTCATCTCCAGATAAACAACAGTCTATACTGGACTTGGAGGTATAGGAGCTGATCTCTCTTCTCGGTCGAGATCGTTAATTCCATGGATTGATGAAATTTTGAGACCAAGACCCCGACAAAAGTCTGATCTGTCCTCTTGGAATAATGCTCTCTTGCTGCTGCACCAAAATGCGTCGATAAAACGTGTGCAAATCGAGGGTCGTTTCCTCTCAACCGACCTCGTGGCGGCGCATATTCCACACGGTGGTCGTCGTTTGACATTTGTTGCTTGTTAATCGTTGACTCTGAAACCTTTCCATTATTTTTATCATTAATCAGACCTCTTACTTAAATATAGACTTTGTTGTCAATACACGATAACTAACCAGAAGACTGTCAATCTCGAAAGCTCTGTAGAAAATTAACTGCTAGATTGTTGTTGGGGATGTTTGTACAACTGATTGTTAGACTTGAAAATGAAGGCAAATTCATCACTTTCTTCAAATGGTAAATATTGTCTTCAGTCTCTGCCTTGACTATTTTAGACTTTACATAGCTGTGGTAGAGTTTTGGCATGAAGGAATGTATGAATCTTAGTTGAAGTTTTGAGTAATATAAAAATGTGAAACTATCTTCTGGGTGCTATCAGACAGTAGCGTATCCTTGTCGAACATTATTTTGGTAATGTGGTGTCCGGGTATCTGGAATCTAGGTTCATAAAACCTAGATTCCAGAAGTATCAACATCCGTTAGTATACAAAAAGGGAATTCTAATTTTTCTAATCATAATCTAAATAGAATTGAAAAATATCTGAATTAACGTCTTTCATGCTATTCAATGTTAGATTTGGTTTTTTTGTACTGTAGATTAAAGTGATGATCTTCCATCTTAACGTAGAAAATGAAGTCCGTGCAGAACTACAATGCCTTAAGTACTACTTAATAAAATTAATTATATATATACCAGCTGTATAGAAGAGGAAATTTTTTTGTTGATCAAATAAAGATAAAAACATCCTGAAGGGATTGTTCTTTTTTCCAGACAAATACATGTCAATGATGTAATAATATGATTCTACTAAAGTAATTCCCGCGGAGATCGCTGAATCTATTCGCGATTACAACTCTCCAGTGTTCACAATCCTCGTAGAACGCGGAGAACATTGGAATGTTCTCATGACATGTAGCTCGAGGCAGAGTTTTAACATAAAAAACGTAAGAAGATAATAAGTCCCAGCAGCTAAACAGCAAAGGAAACCACTGTTGCTGGACCTATTCTATTATTCTATTATCTATGCATGCCATCGAGGAAGGTTTGAGTATGGAACGTTCAAAGTCTAGTTAATACTGGTTCATCTACATACGCCCTCTTGAAGGTATGTACATTTTACAAGCTTGGTTATATACGCGCTGTGTCAAAGCGTTGTTGGCTCTTTGCAGAGGATCCGGGTCTGTTTGCTCCAGCTTGCTTTCCAAGGCTTGCGCTGCTGTCCAGGAAGTCTGATCGTCAAATTTTGGTGATCGATTCATTGATTCACACGTAATGCTATGATTGACTTCGACACTCTGAATCTGTCGGATCTCTGAAATCGGTCAACAAGAAAGAATCGTCCTTCTTACTATTGAAGATAAAGAGTTCTGTTCTGCAGTAAATTTGGACTTTCATCGCCTTCATTTTCTTACTTCAGTGTTTCTGTAGGTAACAGATTAGATCTGCTCTTGGCTTTTGCTGCTCAAGCTGAGCGCTGGTTCGTTGCTCGCTTCGTTCAACAACCGAACTTTTCAAAATTAGAAAATTGCCTGCTTTGCAAGTCTGCCAGATTGAAACTGGGGGATGTGTGCTCTTGACTGCAGGCGAGAGCTATATCTTACACACCGTGAAGGGACGATATCTAGAACATAGACATTATGGGAGAATCCAATCATCCGGAGAAAGACAGCATCAGTAAGAAACACAGAGTGGAAGAGACTTCCGAATTATGGACAGCACGCGAGATTTAAAGGGACTTGAACATTCTTCTATTGCTCTGATGTGTGAAAGTTTCATATCAATTCAACGATCAGCGAGATAAGCTGATTTGGTCTTATTCAGTAATGTGATTGTGTGCAAACATTTCATGATTCGGACTCATGAGAAAGGAGATTCAGGCTGAGCCCTGATCACAAGCTGTCCGCTGTTGAAGCGCATCTGGAAATCTACTTAATCTCGCTACAATGTATCATTCCAAAAGCCTCGAGCTTTAGTAAGGCGTCATGCTGGCACAGGACGTGCCGCTGCCAGGGCTGACTCCGAAGGCGGAGCACATGCTGTTGAAATAGCCCACCCGGTTGGTGTTACCTGTTGGATTGCTTGCTCCTGAGCCACATTCCAGTCCACCATTGATGATGACTGTGGTCATTCCGAAAGTTGCAGTCCTGCCTGCGGCTGAATCGGATGAGGAAGGGGTCCAGCCGCCGGTCATGACTGCATGGCAAGCAGGCTTGGGGCTCTGAGGAGTCATCCAAAACCAAAATGCAGCCTTGAATGCAGTGACACCGCTCTGGGCAACCAGGTCTGGGTTGTTGACAAGATTTAGGTTGACAGCAGGAGAGTCACCGCATTGCTTGTAGTTGTAGTTCCTGAAATACATCCAACATCTTGTTAGAGCGATTCGATCTCTCTTACCATGTGAATCAGAGATGGATGATACACATTCGAAAAATTTCTACTGCTAGGCAGTTGAAGAATGTTGAAAATGAGAAGTCGAATTGTTGATGAACAACGCAGTTCTCAAGCTGGGCTCTTAAAATTCTTCTGATCCAAGATGCATTTCTACTGCTGAGTGATTTTGCACGTCTACACAAAGAAGATCCAGTCTTAACCACTGGCAAGATGCATCAAGTTCTATAATCAGTGCGCAGAATTCTATTTCACACTCTTGAATCTAAACAAGCAAATAATTTCAAGAGAGAGGAGGAAAGTCGAGAACACGCTTCCAGCAGACGTGCTGGTCATGCCAAAACTAGTGGGTTGGGGATGCCTGAATGATGAATCTGAGACGACATAGACATCCACAGGAGTTAGAAAGCACAAGACTCAGTGATTACCAGGACAGCTGCATGGGACCACGACCGAAGTATTGCTTTCCAGCAGCGCAAGGATAGGTAGCGCTGGCTTGGCAGTAGTCAGCTTTGTTGATCTCCTCGACGTAGAACAAGCCTGTAAAAAACGCCGTATACATTAATTCGAAGCTTCCATCGAGCTAAACAAAAGCTTCTTCAAGTTTTATACTTCGAATTCATAATGCAGTCGGTATCAGATTGTAGTCAGTTTCCATGTAGAGGCACGAGTCAATTTGAGGGGAGAAAACAATAAAGCTAAGAGGAAGTTACATGGACATAATTACCAGCAGTTTCTTGAGTGATTTGAGCAAAGAATGCTGCGACTTCCTTCTTGCGCGTATTACAGTCTCCAGTGGTTCCGAAAGCGGGAAAGGACGCAGCAGCAGTCATCATATTCTGGTATGTGTAGATAGCATTCCGATTAGGAAAGAGGTTGTTGTATTGGGTTTGAGATACAACTCCTGCAAGGCCGCTTCCGCATGTACTTGAAGGCGGAGACGGAGTTGATGGAGTTGATGAGCACTGACTTTGGCAGCCCGCTCCGCAATATGCACTTCCCGCACCACAATAGCCATACTGACTGCAGCAGGCACCTCCTGGGCACACTGAGTTTCCAAAATCTCTGCCACACCTCCCACTGGTTCCAGATGAGCAAGGACCGCTCTGGCAGCCCGTACCGCAATATGCACTTCCCGTACCGCAATAGCCAAACTGACTGCAGCAGTTGCTACCCGAGCACAATGCTCCTCCTGCTTGGCTTCCACAATTCTGAGCCAGGCTGCCCTGGATGAGGAAAGGCACAACCAGCGCCAGGAGGAGAATCGCCATTGGCGACTTGGATGACACGGCCATTGTACGATGTTTCAGCTCCCAAATTGAAGTAAGAAATAAGACTCGACAGGATGATTCTATCGGAGCCAAAGCTAGCTCCGTTGAGTTCTGTTGTGTTTGATCTGATGAAGGGAGCTGAGGCTTATATAGTCGCTGGCTCATGCCTTCTGAGAAAAATGTCGTGTCATATGAGCGTTGACTAACAGTCCTGCTCGATGCTCTACCAATTGCTGTTGGGATATCTCGGATCACTGTACGGTTCTGATTGGGTTCGCAGATTGACTGGAGGCATTGGACATTTTGCCTCACTTAAAGTGGATTTTCAGGAAGTCCACCATTCTAATTTCACTTTCTGTTTTGTTATTGATTGCTTTGTTGCAAAGATCTGAGTTTGCATCCCGTGTCATTTCCTGGTACTATGATGCCTTTGCAGATGGATTATACCCTTCCTTTAACCACAGCTTTCGCTCGAATCCATTCCTTACCTTGTATGTGTCATCGTTTTTATCATCTTAAGGATGATAACACGTTAAGATTTGACTGTTTCCTGTCCGCTATTAAGATGACTGCGTACCAACTTACGTCACTACGATAGCCTTCGTCGTCGTAGACTGCTCTACGCTTCAGATAGACTTTAAAGGTCTAGAGCTCCAATGTTTTGACTTTCTGGTGTCTTGCATGACTAATCGTGTTTGTTTATCGGGTATCGTAGGGAGTCAGGGCTTTCCTCAGAGTGTAGTTGGAAGGTAATTCATGTCTTCGAGATCTAAATCTTTAGTTAAGATTTGAGTCACAACCGCAACAGTACACGACTCATGAGCACGAACCAGGAGTGATTAGGAGAAACGTTTCTGCTTCTCGATGTCCAGACCTACTTCTTCAAATCGTATTAAAGTTGCCAACCTGATCCTTGGAGCTCAAGAATGACAATTATAAATCTACTCTCGATTTAAATATCCACATGTTTTAGAGTTACCCTCGGCTGCAGGGTATAAGAACTAGAACGATCGATGCGATGTAGTTCACTTGAAAGTCGAAATCAGTCTTTGGTGCCGAACTCTCCTTCGAGGTCTGAGGAAAATGGAGTTGATTCATGAAATGGTAGATGAATGCTAGATGCTAGATCTGGTATCCGAACTCTGAGCCTGTTTCGAAGTCAGATTGTCGGCATGGTTTAGACACTTTTTTACTCGGTGTGGCACTGAGGGAGTTGGTTTCTGAAATAGGCTGAAATCTTGGCAGATGAGTTTGTCGATAAGAGCCTTGCAGCAGAATGTTCAGTCCTCCTTTTTCTCTGTTGTGACTTGTAAGTTGGAAGCACTCGCCTATGATATGATGGACTGTCACTACTATCAGTAGTAGAGCAGGAGAATCTTATGAAGAATTAGTTCTTGGGCTTTGATTATTATGGCCAGCTCCAACAGAAGTACACATGCAAAGTAGAACTATCTGGAAAAATAAAGAATCTCATGATCCTTCTAACCGAGGAGGTCAAATCCGTGATAAGCTGAACTTCGTCAAAAGAACGCCCATTCGAATGATTGCAATGGGCGTTCTATTGAAGGGATAGGGATTGCAATGCAATCCCGTGCCATTGATGGACATGGTCATAAAGCAGCTTCATTAAATAATTCTTTCCGACTGGATTGGTAAAATGGAACACAGTGTTATGTCATTGGCAGACTCTTGGTGTTGCGATCGGAGTAATTTCCGCATTGTTATCGCAGTTAGTGCATCCGCCGGCAGTTTAGTGGCCTCGATTTCAAATCGATTGAGTTAGAGTGAGAGGAATCTCTCGCGATGAGTCATAGATTGACTCATAGGAGGCAAGGCGTTACAGCGGGTCTAGAGGAAGACTTGATACCGATAAATTAATATAATATAATTTTGGGTGCATGATTTTCGCCTCATGCCCAGTACTGTTTTCAGATGGAGGAAGCCCGTGCGTACGGATGCCTTCATCCTCGTAGATTCCGTCTCTAGGTGCAGCAAATCACTTGATTTATCGAATAACCATGCCCGAGCCCATAACCTCGAATTAACATTACAGTTTCGTGGATATCTAGCTTTCCCTTCTGGTAACGTTTGTGTGACGGTTAATGAATTCTCATTACCTTCACCTCAATTAAACTACTTACTTGGAAATCAGGTGGAAAATAAAATAAACCATGCCTTCACTCCTGAGAATAAAAATTATCGGATTTTAGAACCATGACTTGAGTAAACATATCAAGCTCCTATTTATTTTCAAGCACCACATCCAGATCACATCTCTAGATTATACTTTTGCTTCCAAGAAACGATTTCCACTAATGACAACCTAGTTCACTCCAAATGCACATGTCACATGAACATACTCCAAATTAGATAGTATACTATACTATCTATATTATATAGTATAGTCTCAATAAAAAAATTGACATCACTCTTGATACATGATTTGAATGTTCTATTGATAAATACATCCTATGAAGTCCATTAACCAGAAACTTACTATAAAAGTATTTTGACAGTCCAACTGTTAGTTTCATCAAGTGTTAATACTTACCAGAATCAAAATTGTTCTAACTATCGTTATTTCTCAGGCAAGGATCTGGTTATACCTAGAGTAAAAATCTTCCATACCGCAAATTACTCTGTCTTTAAGAATTGGCGGTCTCACCAATAAAGGCGGGACCTAGGTATCGCAGTACCCAATCTGCACATCTGAAGTCCTCATAGAACACCAGATCATGTTAAAATCAGAGTGGACGAGATCCATCGTAAATGTGGATGGGAGATGTTCTTCATTGATATGAGGAATGGTATGGCCAAAAATCTGCTGACACAGTGGATTGGGTCTGTCAGATGCCTAGGACTCCTTGTACAGAGCAACCGCCAATTTCAGCACGCCAATTTACGTCGTAGACTTATATAGCGAGAAAAAGCCACGAGCTGCGTACTCTGTGAACGGTACGTCCATTTCTGACTTCTGGGATCGCCATCACAGCCATTTTGGACCAGATAAGCTCTTGTTGACCCAGATCAAGTCATTATCTCTCCATGCTTCTTGGTGTGGAGCACGTAAACTCCTAGGTTTTGAAATCCTGTCAGAAATCTCAGGTAGAAATTCGTTCGATATCTTGTTTCAATACCCGAAACTGGTGCTGAAGATCATCCAGCACGAACAAGTTCATTCAGAAACTGATATATATATATATAGTATCGGTACATACCCAAGACATCCAGGAAGTTCATTATTTCTGACTGGTCTCAAAGCAAAAGACTGTTGACTCCTACTGAAATATTTGAAAAATATTTATTACTAATACTACCAGGAAGATTTAACCCTTAATCTACACGTTCATTGCATGTCAGATCATCCCTGAACCAGTTACCAAACTCTTCAAATCCGTTCTCAAAATAGAATAGGTTGAAGGCCTGTCAAATTGTAAGAGTGAATTGATCTAAGCAACGCAAATCAACCAATTGCTACTTGACAGAGTTCACTAGTCTGAACTCAATTTGGAAGATAGGTTTGTACTCAAGCCGTACGAATTACTATGTCATGTATGAGTTCCTACGGCTTCAATAGAAATATAATTTTGGTCATGAGTGTAGCTCAATTTTAACCCCATGCAATCTACAATTCTTATTCATAACATTCATCTCAAGGTGTTTGATCTATCTGTGAACTGTATATATTCATAAGTGATGATTATAGAAAAGGTACAGCGCTGACGATTGTGAACTTATAACCATTGTCACTGCTTGGAATCTGATTCATCTTCAAGATCCCAACATAATCACAGATCTAACTCCTGATCAATGACAACAACAGGTGGTAGTTGCACCTTTTTGAAATGCTATAGACATACAGTCGGTCGAAGTTCAACTACATGTGTGACTACAGATTATTATAATGGACAAGGTTGCTCACAAGCATAAAGTAGAATCAACATTTTCATAAAATTCGGATCCTTATTCAATGCATGCTGTATTACATGGCACAGGTCAACGCGCAAGTCAAGAGGGATCATATAGTTGTGTTGCGATGTCGCTCTCTTCCTGTACAGCCCAATCATTTACGAGGCAAACGGATAAATGCACCACAGTTCAGAGCAATAGTTGTCGAAACAGTATAATGTATGGATTATCAGGGTTTGCACCTGACTAGGTCCATAAACTATTCCACAAGAAAACCAACGCCAGTTCAACACAATATTTAACTTAAAGAAGTAGAATCTTACGGGGGAAACCGTTAAGTGTCATACCGACACACTCACTAACTTGACAACAAGACATTTCCAATATACCGTAAAGTGCTTCTCCAAATTGATTGATAGATTTCAAAATTGAGTTAGAGCAGAGTTATCAGAAACACAATCGTAAGAATGGCACGTTTCAAGTGTCCTAGAACTGTCCGTTCAAATTCTCATCCGTGTCCCTCTCATGACTTCGAAACCGATGATATCCTTCGCGTTCGTGGCGTGCTTTGGAACGTCAGTATTGTGGTGGTCTTGGCATTGACTTCTTTGGCCACCTGCCATAGACTTGGTCTCTGGACACTTATCCATCCACCTGACTAAAATTTAGGCAACTTGGAGCTTCTGATGCTACATGAGCCAGCCAAGATGTGGCTTGAGATTCAGTGATTTAAGTCAACTAAAACTTTGAACTTGGGGCGCAGTGTTGACTCAGACCCAAAGAAGTTCTTTTGTATTGTCTAACCTGCTGTATTTATTGCCATCTGAGTCTACCTCTACCCATATGCGATTACCGAATAAATGATAGATGTAGTCAGTACTACATTTATCGTGCTCTAACTAGGTGAGGTCGCACTGCAATCAGTATTAAACTCTGAAGAATGTCAAATTGAGAAAATTGAGCATACAACTGGACTCATTTGATTTAGACCCTTAAATTCTGCTCTTAATTTTTTGTCATGCTTTAGAACCCTCGTTGATAAGAACATATGCTAGCCAAATAATAACAATGGACAGATGTCAGTGCAACTTCTTTATAAAAGTATTAATGTTTGTGATATCAATGTGATACTCCAAAGTAAACTCTACATTTTTTGGTGCCCAATAGCTAACTGCTTCACATTCTTGGAGTTAACAATCGAGGTAAGACTAAACCCAAACAACAAGGGCCAAAGAAACAAAAATTATCAGATTTTGCTATTTCTAATAGTCGTTAGCCAAGTCTGACACACTCGGCAGTTTGCATATAATATCACATTTTTGTGAATTTAAAAGCATATGGATCAAATGACTGACGTGTTGTGGAAATGGAGTGCTCTGGAGGTATGGCACTTATCAAACTACACGTTAAAGTCGGGGAACACCGACTTTTGTTCCTTGAGGTGCTTATTTGATTCCAGATCTCAGATGTACTGACAAACCGGTACAGGACAAGTTTCAGACACGAGGAAAGTATCTTTCACGGAAGACCTTCTGTTGGTCAAGCTTCAACCGCTACGAGATCTTGCAGGTCGAGTGAAGCAAAGGCTTGTCTCTATGAACACCACATGCATTACCGAAATGCATTTGTATCGTAGCGCTACAGAGTTTTCACATCATTTGAGACTACCGTAAATTCATCCATCATTTGAGGGTCAGTGTCTGCTCGGTCTCGGTCTATAGAAAGATTTGGTGCTCAAACAAAGATCTCACAGCTTAGTTGCACGTCATCCATCATCGTGCACATTGAGTAAAATGCATTCCTGTTCACATCTGGATCTGCTTGATTTGTCCCAAGTGAAGAAATATGTAATATAAAAGACAATGCGAGCTAGGAGTAGCTCGCATTGGGAGTGATTTCGAAGTTAAAGAAATTTGTGTATCCATGTACAGTTTATAAAACCAAAAAGAACTGGGCAGGATAACAAAAAGACAACAATATAACATGACAAATTGATGACTGAGTGAGTCTTTATATTTCGTTTTACTATTTATTGTAAGAAGTGGTCTTACATTTATCCTCCACCGACAGTGATTTACGACTAAATTTCTCGCCTAAGGTCAATCTAAGACAGCAGACTTGGCCATAACTGTAATAGTACTCTTGTTTGAACGCAACTTTGGAACTCATGAGACTTCAGGCATTTTCTGTGTAGCAGGAAACTCAAGTGCTAATACTTGTATTTGTTACACTGAAGAAGACAGTAAAGCGTCGAGCCTTCGAAGTATGTACTTCCCTTGCAACTTCTTACTTAAAAGCAGGCGAGATGTAGGTCGTATGCAATGGTCGGTTCAAATACTGCGTACATGTACCTAGAGGCCTTTTGATGGAGTGATATTACCATCGGAGATAGTGCGATAATCACGTGCATTATAATTACGTGCATAATTACTCCTTACGTGCATTATATGCTTCACTGGTTCTTCGTAGACATGACACGAACATTGCGCACATGCATGTACCGATACAGACAACAGTAATTGTCAGTAAGAATGCTGTAACATAAAAAGAGCTGCAGCATTTTGAAGCATCGATGAGAATATAAACGCTTGATCCAACGCATTAGCTTCAACACTAGGCTATGCCATTGAACGCATCCGGCTTCTGATCTCCAGTTGAGAGCTTCCAGGGTGCGTATGGCTCAGAAAAATGCACCAGTTGGCAGGATCTCTGGTCTGGTCAGGAACAAGTCCGAGACACGAGAAATCTGCCGGGAATCGTGTGCGTCGTCAAGCCAAATCTGGTCCTTCCGACCCTGTCAGTCCAAACAAACTTGATTTTGCTATGCAGAAGACTGGATTAGGGAAGGAGCTTTTGCAGTCAAATATTGGAGCCATTGATTCATAAAAGCAACAATTATTTCAAAATCTATCTTCCACTCGTGCTGTGAATGATTCACGCTTGCACCACCGGTCCGCTCATGACAGTGCCTATTCCCTCTTTCGAATAATCTTCGTGATACATCGATACAATTCTGATTGGTGGGCTTGCTAGACAACGGAAGCTCCAATTCGATATGTCCATCCAATTCTCCACATTTCGTCCATGATCCACACAGTCATTCATATACAGACGCACCGTGACTTCTCACGCAGCTTAATCAATTATTATAATAAGGGGATATAATAATTTATACACCTATGGTATTGATACCATGTTTGCACCGTGAACGTATGGAGCTACATGCAGAGATTCTTGTCAGCCGGTGGCGATCCTACGCTTCCACATGCGAAGAATAGCTTGCAGATTACACAAGTCCTAGACTGAGTCTCAGAATCTCTATTTCCATTGACATGTACGCATCGTGCGCAGTCTGCATAAAGACACCTTCGAATCAAATGACAATATGAAAATTCAAATGAAATGTAATGAAATTCAATTATAGTCACAGTCATAACATGATCGTAGCTGTGTAGTGCACAAAAGGAATGGCCAAAAATTTTGAAATTGACTATTTCCCGAGGAACTGAAGAAATTGATTCTCTCCGAAGTCCATAGCACGCAATACTGTTGTGTTCGCAAGAGCTCTGCGTGTGGGGAACTCACAACGTGAGGCACGCACGGCGTGCCGGGTTGACAATAGTTCACCCGTGGCGAGCAGAGAGATCCTGGTGGCCACGGGACCTACGAGGGCGAGCAGCACGTGCCGACGGATAAAGGCAATCGGCAATCGGCAATCCATCGACAGACGAACGAGTTCGGGACATCGGAAGACTTGCGAACCCCCTGACCAAGTTGACCCACCGCATCCACCGAATTTGCTCGTCTATCTCGTTCTAGAAGCGCTGCATCACCTCACTAGCCGAGCGCCCCTCGGAAGTCAGAGACTGCCAGAGCGCTGCACATCTACCAAGGCCCCACTTCTTCAGTCGCCGTCGTAAACAACAAACATAACCGCCTCTGAAGTCAACGACTGCTGCGGTCGTTCGATTGCAGGAGAACTCCAAGCACGTGTTTAATTATGAGATGACGATGGCAGGCTCTGCTGGATGGAGCCCATCGTCAGACGAACTCGGCAGACCGAAATTAAAGGATGTAAGTATGTGTAAGGATGAAATTGAGGCTCTCATGTGCAATTAATTAGATCACCCTGCTGCATCTCTTCACATTTACGTCCCACTTGTACGATCTCAGCCTGAAGTCGATCTTGAAGAAAATGTCCAAGCCTATGTCTCGAGACCGATTGGTGACCATAGTGGACCCCAAATCTAATTTTGTACAAACTCTAACCCCTCGCACTCAAGGCGACCCTTCGATCTTGGAGAAATTGTCCGAGCTCTTATATCAAGGCCAATGACTTGAGTGGAATCCAAATTGTGTCTGAACCATAAACCCTCGCACTCATATCATCACCGTTCAATGATGGGAGGCTAAATTTACTTATCATCGATAGCTTTGGCGTTTTGGATAGCTGCACGGTTAGTATGCAAGAATTAGGCGTAGCCTTTTTAATGTTGAAGATGAGATTATGTTACCCACAAATTGATGAAAAAAGTATGCTCAAGCAGAATTACCATTTTCACAGAAAGTGTAGCTCTACTCGAGAAGTTATACGCACAAATGTGATTGAAGGTCTTGGATCGCAACTTTGCAATGGATACAAACGATCATGATTGGGAAGATTCTGTCATTAAGGGTTTGGATTTTGACGAATCGAAGTTTCTACATCGACGAGCGTAAGGGAACTAATGGATAGAAATTCGACCTGATCAGAGATGCATTCCGGAAAATGCAGCACTTATCTTGAACGGGAGCGCATCACATATGTAAGTAACTATAAATTGCATAATGAATAGTTTAATTTGTAGATAGGAGTTTGTTTCAAGTGAGAATTAGTTATCATTCATTTTAGTCTAATTATCTTTCACCCTAGTATACAATAGATCATGATCGATACAAGGTTATAGTGCTAGTGGATTCAATTTATGGCTCTTCTAACATGGTTGCCCTCCTCGCAAACAAACTACTCTGATCATTGTACTGCTAAGTATTGTCCACAGCCCACCGGCACCTCGAGCCCTTGCTGCGGTTAACTGGTCTTGGCTCGTCCTCCTGGTGGTCTCATCTCACCAAATGCTTGGGGCAGTTGGACGGGGCGGGGATGGATGTGTGAGCCAACTGAGTTGAGTAGGGAGTGAAGGAAAGAAAAGGGCGAAGTAAGGAAAGAGGAATAAGGTACTGATTTCATTTATGTGCACAATTCGGTTTCACATGATACTCAGCTCAGATCATCAAGCAGTCGCAATGATGCCTTCTGAAAGCTCCCGATGTGCACCGAATATGTAACTGTGAAGAAGATGTTTGCCCTTCCCGTTGGCTGATGCAGCTGATTGAATGAGTTAAACGAGTCCACTGTCACCTATGACATTAGACCAATCCTGGTCGACCGAATACTAGGGTGAATGATGATTAACCCAAAGTGAGGGATAACTAGTCACTCCCTTGTGTAACTGGAAAAGAATTATCTTCGAGAATATTCACGCCATGGCGCAACGCTTGAGACAGAGAGACGAGGGTGCAGTTTATTCGTCATCCTTTATGGTGTCATTTTACTCTACAAAGATTTACATCCCATAAGAGAGAAAGTTGTATGAAGTTGAAACATGACATTACGTGTCGAATGCAAACATCTGAAGCAGGGGGAGTGCCCCAAGTGCTAATGTAACTTCCTCGATGGCGGCGAGTCCTCGTGGAGGATGTCGAGTCAGCGTTGCCTCTTCAATTTGGAATTGGAGGAAGAACTGATAAGGATTAAGAGAGTCAAGAGCTCCTCTATGTGGAAGTTTTCATTGGCACCACTAAACAAAGAGGACAACGTGGAACACTCTGCAAAGACATGCAAAGGCTTTGGAGAACATGCAAGTGAGTTAGAAGATGATGAAGATCTCCAAGCCATTCTCGCAAGATATTGTCCAATCGTCGATATTAATGTTGCAGCTAGCCATCAACATGAGCACACATAAACACTAGGCAAACGAGAGCTGATTGCCGGAAATCAAACAGATATGATAGTTGACATAACGAAGCCATCATTAAGCCCGAGTTTCATCTTATAAGTTGATCCTACATGCATATGCCTCATCATGGCATAGTGTGCTATCTGAAACAGACATTGCATCATTTTGATTAGAAATATACTTTTGACATTACCGTGGATGATCCCATCAAAAAGGAGTAAAATATTAACATGCAAACAACTATATAGCTCATTCGTCACAAGCATGAATCGTCTACAGAAAGACTTTTAGAATACACTTATCTTTGTTATGGGACGTAATAAATCGAACTTCATGCATACTTCTGCAGCAAATTCCCCTTTTCATCTTGTGATAATTTGGGATGAATACGATGGATATCTTAAATTTTTGTGAAGAGATTGAAAATCGAAAGCTATAATATCCTAAAGACAGCAGCAAAGTTTTTTTTTTTTGGCCCTAATCTCAAGCGATACATTGAAAAAATCTGATGATAAAGCAAACTTTTATTTCACTTTTTAACGATATTCAAGCTGGTACACATATAGCTAGAGTACAACTCACCGCTGACCAAAAAACAAATTGTTTCTTTAAGTTTTCACATTAGACATAAAAACTGAGAAAAATTACTTGACGGTAACCCATCAGAATGCTTCATGGGACCCGATAAGTTCCAATTTACCGGAGGGGTACCATCGGGAGACAATTCAGTTCCCCATCACTTATGTTCTCATACGAGTTTTTGTAACTGCTTTATTTCGAGTTACCGAAATGTTTTTTTGAAATAAATAATTGGACTATTTTTGAACCTTTAAATTTATGTTTAAACTTTACTTGATTTTTTGAATTTTTTTCAAATAAATTAAAATATCCAACTATTACAATTAATTTTTAAACTTTTTTGGAAAGAATTTTTTTTACTTAAATTAAATCACTATAAAAATTTTAGGTTAAAAAAAAAGATTTGCAAATCCTGATGAGCGAAAGTGATCATTAATAGTTAGCACAAAATATATGTTTGATAATTTGAGAATCTTAGTCAGAAAATGATTGATAAACTTGAGTTAGAATATTCATTACTTGCTGCGTTAACTAATCTCTTTTCATGTTCTATTAACGATGCTGAAATGTATTCTGATTGAAAATTACAAACGCTGATGAGAAATGCACTGAACATTTGCACAAGTTTAGGGTTTATTGTGCATTTATTTTATACACTTTCCACGACCCACTCACGATGTCTCCACATGATCGAGTGGCCACCTAGTGAATCTTTTGCAATTACGACCTTCAGTAAAACTCTTTCAGATTATCATCTTGAATGCCACATGCAAGCCACTTTGCTCACAGTCCACGACAAAACAAAGGTCATGAAGCTTAAGTGATGCATGCAACATATCTAGAACACGCTCACTTCATTCGCTCAACATTCACACAACTAGTCGAATATCCATTGCCACAACAACAAATTCACACAGACGACTTCCAACCACGAGCACGCGTGGCACACCTGCTCTCTCGCCCGTACCACTGATCACAAGACATAGCCATGAACCCAATCCACTGTCTTTCACAGCTGACTACGGCTCTCCCCAGTTGCAATTGCTACTTCAATCTTTCCTACGGCGTAGATGGGAGCTGCCTACCAGGTATCGACTGCTGCCTACCAGGTAGCAGTCGATACGAGAAGACGTCAAGGATGACGTAAACGAATTCTGCCAAGGATCTGAGCCTACGGTGATCCTATTGAAGTTTGTAGTTTGCAGTTCAATTGCATGTTCAGTCTTAGTTTACCTCATCCGTGACGTCTTCTGGATTGATTGGTACCTGGTTGGTAGGCCCCATCTACGCCGTAGGTAAGATTGGGTGATCCCTGCGCCCTCACATTGCTCAAAGTTTCCCCAACACGCACGTTGCCAAATTTTCATCCTCGCTTCATGAGTACTGCAGCTTACATTTTCATTCATCCGGGTTTCTTTTGTTGATTATTTAAAATTTTCTGGTTTTTGATAACTTTTCTAAGTTAGCACATATCTGCATACACTTGAGCACAAAGGCGAAGAATATTGCACTGGCTTCACAACTTTGACCTATGTGAAACTTAGAACACTTCCTGGATTGATGGACGAGAGTTTACTAAATGTAAATGTTACTTGTGAGATCCATGATAAGAGACTTTATGACTGGATACATACAGTTGCCATCCATGTCATACAATAATGACAATTCTCCTTTTTGTTCTTCTTATAGAAACCGAGTTATAGGTTTGATGAGCCCCATCAAAACGTAAATTGCTTGATGTGACCCATCAAATTTCAATTTACCGATGGTACCCTAGGGAAGGTACACCATCGGTGTGTTCTAGTACGGATATGTTCTTGTACAAATGAGTTCTAATACGTGTTATTACAAGAATATATTGTAATTCGTGTTTCTGCGATGGCTTCGATTGCGTGCCATTGGAGTTTTAACAAACTGGATATGCTCTCAGTCGCAAGATTTTCCGAGCCAACCCAATTTATAAAAGCTTTTGAACATTAAGGGTTGCACTTGCATTCCAAAAACAATTTGCACAAGTACACTGAATCGGAGAAATTTCTTTTGGATCTGAAAACGATGATTTGAGATGCCACTAGAAATACACCTTCCACCTCCAATAATCGTGAATTCTTTTACAAAAGAACTCACAATTATTGGATTTTTGCTCCAACATATCTACAGCACCAGATTGCCACAATGAAGATTTCTTCTCACATGAATTGTTGCGGACAAATTCATATTTGAAACAACGGTGCATTCTTAAGGAGTTTATTTGATGGTGACGTGGACTGTTTGGTAGGGTCCCATTGGGTAAATTGAAACTTGATGGATCCTATCAAGCAATTTATGTTTTAATGGAGTACTATCAAGCAAATATCTCTATATAAACCACATGCAA